CCGGGTCGAGGAGCACTCCCAGGCTGCGGACCTTGTCCCTAGGAGGGAGTGCAACCCCGTTCAGGACAAGGTTCAATTCACCCTCTCCGAAGCCCAATCCGCCAACCAACAGGACCTCCGTCTTGTCTGGATTAAGCTTCAGTTTATTGGCCCTCATCCAGCCCATTACCTCGGCCAGGCACCGGTTCAGCACAGCCACTGCCTCACCTGGATTGGTGGAAAACGAGAGGTAGAGCTGGGTAGAGCAATTTTTCAAATGCAACTAAACGCACAAAAAGCCTCCCCGTGTTGCCACGGAATCGCGCCGGATGCCCCTGCAGAAAGGGCAGACTTGGCCCGGCCCAGGAAAGACAGGAGGGCCGCCTCGCTGGGGGGAAGGTTCCTTTCGCGGGGCCACCACCTAGAAGGCCTTCACCCTGGTTGCTGCCCTCCCTGCTCCCCCAGGAGCGGCACTTGAGGAAGAGCCTCGGGTGCTGATCCGACAAGAGGGAGGAACTGGCCTTCCTCCTCTCCGTGGTAGGGAAGCCGCCCTGGTGCGCCCTTGGTACGAAGGGCAGCCCATCCGGTGCCCGGAGAGCGGCCTAGCGGATGCGCGTGCCGTGGAGAGGCAGCCCCTGAGCCCCTTTCCTCCTCCTCCTCCTCCTCCAGTTCCAGCGCGAGAGGCGCAACGAGACGCGGGTGGCGCTGGCCGTGCTCCAGAGCATGTCCGTCCTTCACAGTGTAAGTACCATGCGGGGCCCGCGGCGTTTCTCGGAAGGGAAGGGGAGAAGGTAGGCCAGACCCTGCAACCGAGGGGTGGGGAACGCCGCTCTTGGCTCTGGCCCCCGGAGGTATCTCAGCCGCCGCTCCCCGCAGCAGCTTCCGGATGCCCGTGCGCCCCAGAAGGGCCTGCCTGGTGCTCTGCAGAGCTGCGGCAGCTGGGATCGGGGCTCTGCGCCAGGGTGGGCAGGGGGCGCACCTGCCCGCCCTCCTCCGTCATACGGCGTGGGCTGCCAGGGTGGTCCTTCCCTCCAGAGCACGAGAGCATAAGAACGGCCGCACTGGGCCCGGCCCCTGGTCCATCTCGCTGGCGCCCCACACCTCCGGCGGCAAGCCAGCTGCCCGGGGGTCCCTCAGCAGGCGGGGGCAGAGCTCCACTGCCCAGCAAGCCCCCGATGTTCTGGGGGGTGGTCTCCCCGTCAGCGCTGCCTGGGCTGGGCTTTGCTTCTGGTCCCCTTCCTCTGAAAGGGGCTGGGGCAGCTCCCCGCGAGGGGCATCTGTGAGAAGGGGACTGCCTAGCAGAGAGAGAGAGAGAGAGAGAGAGAGAGAGGGGGGGAGGGAGGGGGGGAGGGAGGGAGGGAGGAGGGGAGACGTGGCGGAGGCGCTTGAACCATGCGCGGCGTGGCGGTCGTGGCGGGGGGGCATGTTCTTCCGCTCCCGCAACATGTGAACCTGGGGCCATCCCGGGGAGCTGACTGGGGAAGGTGTGGGGCCAATCAAAGGGGGCGCGTCTTCGTACCACAGCTATGCGTAGCGGACCCGTGGAATTCGCTGCCACAGGTGGTGCCAATCCAGGTGTCTTTAAGGGGGGGCTGGGCAGGTTCGTGGGGGGGAGGATATTGGTGGCTACTAGCCTTGCTGGCCATGGGCTCCCTCCTTCGCCAGAGCTGCCGTGCCTGCACGCCCCAGTGCTGAGGGGCTGGGCAGGGGGAGGTCTCGCACCCATCCCGCCGGAGGGACCCTGTGGGCAGCCGCTTTGCCCCGAATGGAGGGCTGGACCGGATGGGGCGGTGGTCTGACCCAGCGGGGCTCGCCCGGTGTTCCTATGAAACGGGGGCCTTTGCAAATCCCAACCGCAGGGATGCTGACTTTGGGAGGGGCAGCCCCCCCTCCCCATCAGGGCGCTTTGTGCCACGACTGGCCTTTTAAAAGCCTGCAGTGTCACAAAAGGCCTCATGCGCACTCTGTGCGTGTGTGTGTGTGCGCGCGCGCGCGCGCACGGTGGAATCCCATACTTCTGATTTTTAACGAACTTTCTGAAACCCCAAGCCCAGCGGAGGATTTCAGGGCAGTGTTGCAGGACTGGGAAGGGGAACGTTGAGCCTTGAGGGCACCCCGCAGCTGCATACAACCCACAGGCTTGAGGGTCCCCATCCTAACCCCCCCACCCTCCGCCAGCAGGCTCTTCTGTGTGGGGTCCATGGCTCCGCATCCGCTCGGACCTGTCCGCTCACTCAGACAAATAGTTCAGACCTGAATGCATGGCAGGCCAGCGCCTGTTGGCCACCAGTCGCCCCACACGCAGGCCATGCCCCCCAAGCGCTGCCCTTTCCAGAAGGAGCTTTGCTCTCAATTCTCGAAAAGCTCCCTTGTTGTAAGAAAACCACCCATGGATGGAGAAGGCCGGCCTGCCTGGCGCTCCCAGGGAAGCGAGGTGCAGACGGGCAGAGCTGGGCCCCATGGCAAGAGCGTGTCTGCTGGACCACACGAGATCCGCGGGGCCCCCGGCAAAACGGAGCAAAAGCGAGGCCCCTGCAGCCCCTCTGGGCGCACGGATGGGTCCAGGGGCTCCAGAGGCCCCAGCATCCCTCCGAAGGGTTCGAGGTGCTTCGCACCGGCAGCGTTTCATTTCCGCTTGGATGGGGCCGTCCTGCCCCACACGATCCTCAGCGCTGGCCCGGCTTTGCTTTCAGGTATATGACGACATTGGGCTGCACGTGGTTCTGACGGGAATGGAGCTGTGGACGGAGCGGGACCGGCTGAACATGGAATACGAGCTCGACAAAAGCCTGGAGGCGCTTCACAGCTACGCCGTGTCCGAGCTGTGGTGGAAAACCCACTTCAACCACGCGGGTTTATTCACGTGGGACTCATTGCCTTGTGCTGCCGCTTCCGTGTCCCCCCCGCCTCCGCCACGGCCCACGGGGCTCCCTCTCTAACATGCAGAAATGCCCCCCCCCCCTGCCATTCCCCCCATAGTCTCAGGGTGTTCTGGGTGTCCCAAAAGTGTGGCTTTTACAGCACGACCGTGTCGGAAGGGACTTTGTGAAGGGCAGCGTCAGTCCTGGGGAGCAGAAGCGGGAACCCACGCAGCCATCGCGAGGAAAGAGGCGGTGGGGGAGCACCTGAGCGTGGCTTGGTGGACGGCCCCTGCCTGTGGCTTCTTCCGCCGGCCAGCGCCCCACTGGAGTCAGGCTGGGAAGCTGCCACCAGCTTCGTGGGCAGCCTCTCCGGCATCAGCGACGAGCGTCTCCACGGGGTGGTGGGGGGACGGAACGAGGCAGCAGCCGGACGGCCACCCTGGGCCTGGCGGGCTGTGGCCATGAGCCAGCTCCCCCCCCACTTCAGCGCAAGGCCGCCTGCCCCCCCGCCCCCCCGCAGGGCAGTTTCTGGCTGAGAGTGGGGCGTGGAGGGGGGTTCGCGTTCCCAGCAGGGCCCGTGGTCTCTGCCCTCCACGGGCACCACGCCTGGATCCAGAGGGGAACTCCCTGGGCCACACGGGGGCCAAGAACGCCCGCGGGCTCCCCCTGAGCCCCCCGCTGCATCCAGCGCGGCCGGGAATCCCAAGCCTCGCCTTGCTTTCCGGAGTCGTGCAAGGGGTCCCGGGGCGAGGCATGCAAGACGCGTGCCCTGTCAAGAAGCCCAGGCGGTGCCGCTTTCCCTGGCGCGCAGCCCCCCCCCCCCCGCAGCAGCTCCCTTCTCGTTCGCTGCCTGTGCTGGCCATTTGTGGCTGGGGAGCCGTGGGGAGGGGCTGGTCTCCTGCTGCCGAGGGAGGGGCTGGGGGGAGGCCCTCCCGGGGGTCTGCGTGGCTCCGATGCCCGTCGCCACGGCAGCACTGCGGTCAGTGGGACGGCAGAGGGAAGGGCCCTGCCAAGCCGAGCATTTGGCCCCCGGCATCAGCGAATTCTGGGTGTCCAGGGCTGTCCCCTCCCTCGTGAGGGGACTCTGCAGAGCTGCAGGGCAGGTGGGCCACGGTGGGCATCGCCCTTCCTGGCACCCGGACACCGGCGCCGGCCCCGGAGATCTGCGGGCGGCCCTCCCCCAGCGGGTCAGGGACAGCCGTGTACCACTGACGCCTGCTGCCTTCTGCCTCGCAGGGCGGTGGGTGAGGACAGCTCCTTCTCGCCGTCACGACAGGGCAGTCTTTGCATCCACAACTATGTCTCTGTCTCCGCTGTCACGGTAAGTGGTGCGGCCCCCAGCACCCCCCCAGTGCACCCCCACCATCTGAGACCCCCGCACGCACCCAGGTGCTGTAGGCTCACATCAAGCCACGTGCCAGGCACGGAAGAGCCAGCTCCGCCGGAGGCGCTGTCCCCGCGAGGCCCCTGCGAGGACCGGAAGGGGGGGGACGAGGCCAGCCGCCCCGGGGGGCAGGGAGGGGCTCCCAGACTCCGGTGCCCTCGCAAAAGAGGCTGACCCGCCAGTGGCCTTGCGGATGGATGCAGGGCCTGCGGCAAAGCACCCCGGGGGGGCCCAAGGGGCCCGCAGGATCAGGCAGGACCCGGTGGCCCTGCCAAGGAGCCAGGATCCGGGCCCTCGAAGGCGGCAGCCGGCACCCTGAGCTGAGTGTGGGAAGTGGCCAGGAGTCTGCGGAGACAGAAGAGCAGAGGCAGGCAGGCGACGCTGCCGGCCTGTGTCGGCGTTCCGGCAGGAGCCCTGTGAAGCAGCCCCCGGGCAAGGGCGTTGCGGCACAGGAAGGGGGACAGCCCCCCGGTCCTGCCAGGCCTTGGCAGGAGCGTGGGTTGCTGGTGTTGCCCATGGAGGTCCCGGCATTTGGGGAGCCGTGGGCGGCCCGTGGATGAGACCTCAAACGCGTGCAGCTGAAGCGGGCACCACCCTCTCGCGGGTCCGCACGGCGTCACTGCCTCACGCATCCGCTCTGTATTTCCTTTGGAAGTTACCGCCCACCTCGTTCCCAAAGGCTCTGGGTGGCTTAGAAGCGATGAAAACCAACCATAGTCAAATTTCAACCTCAAGCAAGCATCCTAAATCAAATTAATCTGGGAACTACTCTAGGAAGGCCTATTGGAAGAGATGCATCCTTAACGCCCTCCTAAAGGGGTCGGTTGGGCGCACCAGACGTGTCTTTCCCGACCGGCTGCTCCATGCTTTGGGCTGGACATCGGTCTTAGAGGAGCTTGGGAGGACTGTCCCCAGAGGACCCCCGTGGGTGAGGTGGGATATATGGGCAACGTGCCGCCAAGGTGTTGGGCGCTCCGGTCACGAGGGGCCTTCACGGTCGCAACCGGCACCCTGGAGACGTGTTGGCAGCCCGTGCACAGACTTCAAAAGGGGGGCAGGTGGTCCCCCGCGACGTCCCTGGGACCAGCCTGCCTGCCTGCCTGCCTGCCGTGCTTGGGGCTAGTTTTGGGAGGGGCGCCAGGTGGCTCAAGGGGAGGGGGGCGGGCGGCACGTGTGGCCCAGTCCCCAGGCACTTCCCTCTGGAAGGGATGCAGACGGCGGGTCAGCCAGGGCGATGGCGGGCGCTCGCAGCTGCGCACGGCTTCTGTCCCTGCCGACCCCTGAAGGGCCACGGCGAGCAGCGCCCCGAAGTGCGAGCACGGCCTCGCGGGGGAGTGCGACCCCACCCAGGACCGGTCGGCACACGCCAGTCCTGGATCCAGACCCTTAAACCCCTCCGCGTGGCCTGGACCCACCCACGGCTTTTCGATCGCCTCTGTTCTCAGTCATCTTGCAGAATGGGCGACGGCAGCGGCTGGGGCTGGGCGGGACCCCCGGGGCCTCGCCCAGGGCCTGCCCAGCTGGAGCAACATCAGGGCCAGACCTGCCCGGCTGTGAGCGACCCCCTCTCACAAACACGCCCCCCGGCCCAGATGACGTCCCCGCCTGCTTGCTCCGATGCAGCCAGCCCCTCCCCCGGAAAGACCACCTCCCCAACTAGTTCTGAGCATGAGCCCACCCGGAGCCTGTTCAGACGGGCAAAGGCCCCTTGGCGATGCCGCTCGTCCAGGCGGCTCTGTGCAACCACCGGTTTGGCCCGCGGCCCGAGCCGAGCCTTCCCCCAGCGAGTGCCTCCGGGCGGGAAGCGCACAGGGCTCTTGTCCCGTCGGGCCGTTCAGCCTGAGCAGCAGGACGGAGCAGATGGGGAGCGGGGGCAAACCCCCCCGTGAACAGACCGCCCGGGAGAGCCTGGCTCTGCCCTGGCCCTCAACCGCCTTTGGGCTTCCCCAGCCACCTCCGCCCTACAGGGTCACGGCCGCTGGGTTCTTGCAATGCTGCGTTTCCCTCGTGCATAACCCCCCCCCCCCCCCCCCGGGCCTTGCCGGTCACATCCTCGGTGACGTACGACGGCCTGGCTGCCGCGCACCAGCTGGGCCACGTCCTCGGCTTCGCCCACGATGACCCCCTGGGGCAGGGCGATGGCGGCATCTGCGACTGCAACTGCACCTCGAGGCCCGGCCGGTGCATCATGTTCTCGGCAGCGGCGTGAGTAGCGCACGGCCACTCTCCGGCAAGGCCGCTCCGGCTCGGGAGGGAAGAGGCCGCTGCGGGCGACGGCTCTGCGTTCAGCTCTGGCCAGCACTGGCACATGGAAAGACTTGCCCCTGGGTTTCCGCGGGACGTTCTTCGGAAGAAGGGTGCTTAGAGCAACCGGCAGCCAAACGTGCCTTTCGCTTTGCCGGGCCGGTCCTTTAAAACATGCCGCTGGAGCCGGGGAAGCTTTGGTAGCAAAACTGATTTGGCTGCAGAATCACTAGAGCTGTTGAAAACCAAAGCCCTCGGCCAGCTCCGTATGCCCACCTGGGACCTACTGGGCAAGTTCCATTTCCTAACTGGCAAAAGGTTCCGGGGCAGCTTCCCGGGTCCGGTGTGGCTCAGTTTGCGTGCCGCCGTGCTGGAGACGATGGGTGGGCTTTTAATGCCTGCTTGATAAGTGACGACCTACTGGTGGAACACAGGGAGGTGGACTCAGGAACCCTGGTGAGGCGCCCCCCCCCCGCGAGGAGGCTCCCGAGGGAGGGCCTGCGGTGACGGAGCCCCCGGCTCCCTCACGAGCGCGCCCCTCCTTTCCCGAAGTGCTCTCCTGTTTCTCTCCTGTGCGCATGGGCATGCGCTGCCTCTCCCAGGCAAGGAGGAGAGTATTTGTGCACTTCTGCAAGTGCCGGCCTGTGCTCATTTCGTTGCCAGGATGAGGCTGTCCGGCAGAGGCAAGCAGGCTTCCCTGGGGCCTTTGCCCCCTCGCATGCTGACGCTTCGCTTCACTTAACTCCCCAGAGCGGGTATCCCAGAACCAAGTGCTGTGGTGAGACTCAAGTGCCAGTGAGGCTGAGCTCCTCGGTAAAGAGGGGTCTTGCTTTCACCATCCTCGAGATCCGGTGGGCTACTCCTGCATTCGGGCACAGGGGGGTGTCTACCCTCTAGCCCTGGGCCCCACCAGCGCACCATTCCAGGCCATCACCCAGCAGCTGCCGGAGCGGTCCGGGGGGGGGGGGGGTCCCCCAGGTGTCCTCCTGGAGGCCCTATGCTTTGTTTCTGCTCCCCTGCTTAAACTCCGTCCGGTCTAAGTAGAAGTTCATCCAGTTGGTTCCATCTCTGTTTCAGGGACTGCCAGGTGTCTGTTTAACTTTTCTAAAGCTTTTCAAAAGCACACAATTTCAATTGTACAAAAATATCAGAGTGAAAACCCAGAGATGAGGAATGTTCAGCTCCTTCTCACCAGGCTGAAGGGGCCAACTGCTGCGTGCAGATAGTGGGGGGGGGGATTTTTTTCCGTTTAACCTCCTTTGGCACTTTTGTGGGAGGGGCGGGCAACTGGCTTAGCTGATGCAGATTTTTAAAGGGATTCCACTGTTGAGGAAACTGGCCCGGCTTCTACAGCTTCCGCTGCTCCGTTCGTGCCCGTCTCCTCCTCGCCCGGTTCCAGGCGGACCCCTGGCGAGCGAGACTGGGGGTGGCGAGCGGACCGGCCGGGTGTCCTGCTGCTCTCGCCAAGCGACCCCGTGGCTTGGTGGCACGAGCCGTGGTGCCGGCGTGCGTGTCACAACCGGCCGCTCGGAAGGCGAGCCGCCCCAGGCTGGGGGTCCACAGGGGGCTTGCGCACGGGGAACGGCCTCGCCGGTCGCCCTGCCAGGCGTGGACAAGCCCGTTCGACGCCCGTCCCCAGCTGCGTGGTGCCCGCCAGGCCGGCCTGGGCAGGCGCTCCCCGTAACGGCGCCTGGCACCCGTCTCGTTGCAGCGAGTGCCACAGGCTGAGCAACTGCAGCCGGAACGCCTACTACAGGTTCCTGGCCAAGCAGGGGAGGAACTGCTTCCTGAACTTCCCCAAGGACATGTTCGTGATGAAGGCCTGCGGCAACGGAGTGCTGGAGGGCAACGAGGAGTGTGACTGCGGGAGGGATGAGGTGAGCCCTCGCTCGCTCACTCGTTTGCGCGCACGGGTCGCCCCGAGGACGAGCAGCGCCTGGCACAGCTGTTCCTTTCCAGCAGCCCTTCCGACACGGTTTGCTCAGTGCCTGCCTTAGTGTAACCTTGAACAGGCACCTTCATTTTCTGAACCCTAACCCTGACACAGGGCCCGTTCCCCATGCATTGTGCCCATTTCCAAAATCCTCACCTGCCAGAGTTTTCTCTGCCCAGCTCATCGTCTCTTGCCATTCGTATCACGTCCCAGCCCTCAAAGGCCCCAGGAGCACCCTCGCTTTCCGAGCCCTATCCCTACCCTGGATTTCCGCCCTAACCCTAAAATAAGGGCCATTCCGCATGCGTCGTGCCGAACCTCAGAAGCCGCTTGCTTGCTTCCCATTTATTTCTCCTTCCCAATGCCAAGTCCCAGGAAGACTTCCCAAGCAGCAAGTGCCATCATCCCCAGCCAGGCCGCCTCCTCCGCCTGGCACCACGCGCCAGGCTTGTCCTGGAACTGACACCCCTCCCGTGGGCCATAAGCAGTGCACAGGGCCCCTCATTTTGGGGCTGCCCCCTCGGTGGGCACACCTAATGGGGGCAGACCACGCTGCCTGGGGCTCTCCGGTGCGGGCGAGGGGGCCTCTGGCTGCTCCGACAGCCTCAGAGATCTCCCCCCGATCGCAAGCGCTCGGCTCAGTGGCCTGGGATGCACCGGCAGGCCCTCGTCTTCCTTACCGGTGGCTGCCCCGGATCGCAGGCATGTGGACTTCCGCACACGCTGCGTGCGCACTGTGCTGTTTGTGTGTTTTCACGCAAACAGTTGCAATGGCAAGCGTGGTGCTGCATCTCAAGGAGCTCCACCTTTCCAGCTGCCCAGAGAACTTCAGCTGCTGCCAGCCAGGGCAGAAAGGCACGCAGTCCCTGGGGCGGAGGCCCTTTCTCAGCCCGTTGGGCAGCCAGGAGGAGTTCCCCCGCCCCGGCACCCATCTCCTGATTAACAAAACCACAAGCCAGGGCTTGCACCCACACCAGAACCGGCGGCTTTGTGGCTGGCCGGGACCCTACACTGACCTCGGACCGGCTCGCTCGAGGGAGTGGGTGGGCTTCCCGCCATGCCAGATCCCGGGGTCGTCCCGTGAATTGTGGGAGCCTCAGGATGGATTCAGATGCATCATTTTTCGGAGAGTGCAGAATTCGAGGGACGGGACTCCCTGCCATAAGGCGTGGCGGCAGCTGCCACCCTGGGCCGCCTTCAAGGGGAACCGAACAAAGTCACGGAGGGAGCCGCCATCCGTGGCCCCCGCCAGTCGTGACGGCCCCCCGAGGCCTCCGCTGCGGGCAGGGCAGCGCCCGAGTCGCACGCACGGCTCCTCGTGATCTCCTGCCAGGCACGGAGGAGCGAGAGCCGCTCCAGCCCAGCCTCCCTCCCTCGGGCTCTTCCTTCCCTCACGACACTGCGGGCACAGCCCCTGGGGGTGCCCGGGGCCCCCACCCCTGCAGAGTGGGGGGGAGCATGAGTGGGCCCCCGCAAAGCCACCGGAGGGCCCACTGCGGCAGGGGAAGGAGGAGGCGGGTGGGCTGCCGGTGCCTCGGGCCTGGGGAGCTCCGGTCTCCTCCCCACCGCCTGAGGCCTCCGCTGGGCCCTTGCGGAAGCTGCCGGGGCAGCCGCTCTGTGCTGCCGCGATGGGTGAAGGGGGACCCAGGGGAGGACTCCCAGCTCCATGTCGGAGCCCGGCTTCCGGCCACCGCTCCGGGAATCCAAAGACTCCCGTGGCCCTCCGGGTGCTGTCTGGGGCTCTCCCCGCCACAGGGCCCCGTTCCTGGCGAAACAGCCGATTGCGGTGGAATTGCATCCGGACATAAACACCCGGGAGGAGAGGAGGGAGCCTGGGCCCTCGCTGCCCCTCACCTGCAGATGTGCCCCAACTGAGCCGACGAGTTGCGAAACAAGGGGAAATGCATTTGGCTCGAGCAAGGGGGCAACCCGCTCCCAGCTGACCGACTTCTGCGGCAGATTCACCATAAATGTGGATTTAACGAGAGAGCTTGTTGGACTCAGCCAAGACTTGATGGGCTGCAATGGCCTATGGGACATTCTGATCGTACTTTTAGCATATATAAAGAAGTCTTAGATATGCAGGTTCAGACATGAGTACGTCGTTTTGCTAGAGCTTATATTTCGATGGACATGAAGGGATCCGTCTGGGGGGGAAGATTTGCACTGGGGGGGGCTGGACCCGATGGCCCCCGGCCCTTCCAACTCTACTGTGCGATGATTCTATCATGCCTCACCCAAAAACGAGTTCAGAAGCTGTGGAACATAGAAGCAGAGTGAGGCAGAAGGGGTCTCCCGGGCCATCTAGTCTGACCCCCGGCTCCAGCCGGCTCCGCTTACAACATGCCCACCATGTGCATGTCAGGAACACCCCGATCAAACTGAGATGCTTGTTTAGATAGGAAAAGGAGAGCAAAGGGGTTCTCACTCACGGGAAATGGATATTACTTTGCATGCTTAGAATGAAAGAAAGAGAGACACACGTTTTCAGTTAAAGATGAATTATAATCAAGAGAAACACAAGGCAGATTGAGTTCCAGGTAGGAAGCACCAGGCGGGACTGGCCAGGACTGGCGCCTTCCTCTTCTGCATCGTGTGAGCACAATGAGCCCCTTCAACCTTCTCGCCAGATGCCTGAGATTGTACAAACGTGGTGCAGAGGAGAAGGAAGACGGCAGATGCGTTTCCGCAACGCACACCTGCACCTGCCGGCCCACGGGCCGCCCAGCCATTCAGCCACCGCTCTGACCTGCGCTCCAGGGAGAGAGCAGGCCGGAGGAGTTCCTTGGCCCTCGGGACATGCCAGGGTGGCCACCCCACGCGACCAGGAATCTCCGGCAATGAGAGCTCTTCTCTTTTGGGGGGCTGTGGTCTTTCCAGCGCAGGTTCCCTCAACATTCGTCCTCTGCAGGCGGTCCGCGAGCCCCATCCACCGGGGGTGAAAGCGGTCATTTAGCTCCGGTGCTCCCACTGGAGCAGAGGGGCTTCAGCGAAGGAGGACGGGGGGTCTCTGACCCGATGTCATTGGGGAGGAACACGGGGGAGTGGCCGAGGTTTCGCGTGGTCCCATCTTGGCTGCTTTTGGCCCGAGGCCCAAGAACTGTTCATGAGACTTTGCTCTTCCCGCACAGGAGTGCCGGAGCAACGGCTGTTGCCAGGATGATTGCAAGCGGAAGCCGGGCGCTGACTGTCTTTCTGGACCCTGCTGTGAAAATTGTAAGGTAAGGTCACCGCAGAGAGAGCGGTTCTGTCTCTGCTTTCATGTCGGGAGCTCACGCATCCCCAGCCTGGCCTGTCGAAAGGCGCTCTTGGTGAGATCGAGGCCAGCGCCTTGTGAACGTAGCGCTCGTAATGCCACGATGCCTTTGATCTCAGCCTGAATGGTCAGGGTTAGACACTGGAGCTGCAGTCTCCTTCAGTGCCCGCATCTGGGCATCTTTGTCTGAATCGGACATTACTGGTCCCTGTACAGGTGGGAACTGATACAGGTAGTCCCTGGGTTAAGACAAGTTCTTTTCCTGAGAATATCCTTGGGTCAAATTTCTATGCAAGACGGATCACACGAATAAGCCAACGGTTTGCCTTAGAATGCTTTCCCTTTTTATGCATATAAATCACTGAAGAAAAACTTCCGTCTTCACTTAACTTAAGCTCAGTACAGCATATTACCAACAATAATATGATAATAATACAGGTGTTACTACAGGTATTGAAGAGAGAGGGGCAGACGGAGGGAATCTGTGTGTGAGGCTTACCATTCACACAGGGACTAGACCTTGAAGGGTCTCCCCAAGCCGCAGAGTGATTTTGGCCTTGTGTCGTATAACATGGACGAGCAGTTCATTCAAAAGCCAGGCTCTGTAATTCCGACGAAAGCTGTGCAGGATGGAAGAACGGCTCAAGTCGTTGGAACTCTCTGCTGGAATTCTCTGTGGAGTCTCTGCCTGTGTAGACAAGATGCGAGGTCTCCAATGAACTCCCCCTGCCCCCAAGATGCCCACCAACACTGGCTGTGGAATAGAGCAGGCCGGCACCGGAAAGCCACGGGTCCCCCCCCTCCAAGAGTCTGTAAATAAGCAAAAAAAAAAAAGGCTCAGCTTTGCAAGGCACCCGGGCCAGAGGGTTTTATGTGGGTTCTCTGCAAAGCCGAGTCTTCAGGGGCACGTCCAGAAAGAGGCTTTTGGCTGTGCTGACTTCCCCCTCACTACACTCAGCAGTCGCTCCGAGAAATCATTTCAGGCCAATTAGTTTACTGATAATTAATGGATATCTACTCCCCCCCCCCCCCCCCCATGCACCTAATTCTAATGCCTGAACAGGGCAGACGGATTCCAGGCTGACTTTGTATTTCCGTCAGAATCCGGCTGAACAAAAGGAGGCCCGCGTTGTATCAGTCGGGCGGTCAAAAGAGAAGGGTTCTGCTGTGATGGAACCCGTAAAAAGATCTGACCGGGGGGTGTTAAATGGGAGCAGGAAGGGGACGGAAAGGGGGAGCTGACATTCCTTGCGGGAGCCGGAGCATCTTCCGTGGATCGTTGCATCGCTCCGTGCAGCTTGTCAAATGCCACGTCCAGCCACAGGGGGAATAGCTGCCTAGGGGGGCTCCTTCGCCCTTGGCTCATCTGACCGTTTGGGGGGCTCGGGTCTCCTTTCGGACAGATCGCAAACGAGGGGAAGGTGTGCCGGGAAGCGGCCTCGGGGTGCGACCTCCCGGAATACTGCACCGGGGAATCCGGCAGCTGCCCGCCCGACGTGCACAAGCAAGATGGCATGCCCTGCGGCGCCCGCAACACCTGCTACCTGGGCGCATGCCTGGACTCCAAGCAGCACTGCACCGCCCTCTTCGGCAGAGGTGAGGCCGCGTCCCGGAGCCGCGTTTCCGCAAAGAGCGAGCGATGGGGCAGCGCCCGAGCGGCAGAGCTCGGTGGCGTTTTAGGGGGAACGGGGCGCCCTTCTGGCCCTGGGCCGCCACACACGGAGGCCGCTGTTTCAGCGTGCTCGGCTCCCCAACATGCCAAGCCACTCGGGCAGCCCTGCTGCCCGGATAAGGGCGCCCGAGAGTTACCGCAGCCACGGCCCCGGTCAGCTCTTGATTCTAGAGGCCGGCCAGGGCGTGACAGGACTCCTAGCCAAACCTCCAGCAAGCCCCTGGAGATGCCCACAGCCCTCCCGGACCCATAGCTCTCCAGCCATCGGCCATTCCGACTGGGCTCCCACCAGCCCTTTAAGCCCTCGGCCCAAATCCACCCAGGGGGCCAGAGGCTCGCCTGGCTCCCACACGCACGGATCCACCTCTCCATCTCCACCAGGGAAAGCATACAAACGTGTGACCTGCCGTGTTCGTCGGGCTGGAGCAGGCCGGGCAGGCTGCCGTTCCGGCTTGCTCCGCTGAACGCTCCTTCAGTGTGGATGCTGAAGTCTCCCGAGACCAAAAGCCACGGGGACCTTTGCTTCGCCCCCACCAGTTTGGGCAGGGAAAGCAACAGGACCATCCGCCACGTGTCCCACCCCTCTCCCTGCCGACCGTCACCAGGTGCAGACGCTCAGAGCGGCCAAGAGAAGGAGGAAGGAATCTGGGAAGGGAGAGGGAGTCCTCAGGGCCTCTGGCCACCCGTCCTCCCTGCCCCTCAGGTCTTGGTTGACGGTGCAGTCCATACTCGGTACACACAACCATTGACCAGTTCCCGGTAATATTTGCCCCCTCCCAATTTACCGAGACTTCAGACGTGCTTAAAAAACCACCAACCCCCCTCCTAAGATCCCCCCCCCCGGCATTCCAGTAATCGCCACCATTCAGCTCATAATCTACGTCCGTTTCTAACCAAGCCCGTGCACTCCCGAGAGAGAGCCATTTGTAGGCTCGATCGGAGCGGCTCCAAATCGTCCAAACGCTGCCGCTGGTGGGCAGAGCCCAGCGCTGGTGAGCGGCTGGCAAATTCCCACGCCAGGGACGGAGGCGGGATGGCGCCACCGCAGCTGCCCCCCGGGCCTGCCCTTCTGCGGACTGTGCGAGGGAGAATGCCGGTGCTTTCGTCCCTGGGCCACGAAAGGAAAGGCGCAGGGGCCGGGTGGAGGAATCCGGCCGTGCTCGCTGCCCCTTCACGAGCGCGCCTTCCCCCCTCGCCCCGGCGGGTGCCGCCATCCCCCACTGCCCTCACCCTCGCCTCCCCTCGCAGATGCCAACCCGGCCCCGCTGAGCTGCTACAAGGAGGTGAACAGCCGTGGCGACCGGACGGGCAACTGCGGCAAGGATCGTTCCGGATACAAGAAATGCAAAGAGGAGTACGATCGCTCGTGGGAAGGCGCCTGGTTTCCTGGGTCGTGGCCGGCATTTGCCCTGCTGCTTGAACGGAGGCACTTGAGGAGGACCTGTGATGGCCACGTCCTTTGCTAACAAGCCAGGAGCCTCCTGGCAGCCCGGCCCGACTTCCCCTGGGATCGCCCGCCTTCCACACATCCCAGACCCTCACGGTTTGCCTTCTGGGCTTGCTATCCGCATTCCGTTGGTCACCCTTTATCCTTCCAGAGAGCTCAGGGCCAGGCACACGGTTTGCTTCTCATTTTAACTCGGGGCCCAGTGAGGAAGTCCGGCCGCTCGGGACAGCGGCCTTGGGCGGCCATCAGCGATCGGGGTGCCTGAGCTGGCACGGCCCACGAAGCTCCCCGGCTGTGCGGGGAGAGGAGCGCAGGGCTCCCCACCCAGCGCGCTGCCCCTCGGCCTCCGGCAGGCTCCGGAGTGCGATGGGGAGCCTCTTTCAACAGGGGACTTTCTTCTGTCCAACGGGCACAATAGCATGCCCGACATCTCCCACAGCAAATCCTAGCGATGGCGCGGGGGGCACCCCCTTTCTCTGCTCCTGCTCCCCACTCCCTCCTGGGCTCAAGGGTTCTCTCAGATCCAGCAGGGTCCGGGAACTCACGGCCCACCAAATGCTCTGGCTTGCAGTCTTCACCTGCTCCGGCTGGCATGGCCGATGGCGAGGGATGTGGGGGGGCAGCCTGAACACCTGGAGCGCAAACGGTTGCCCAGGCACCCCATGCCTCCCCCATCTCCTGCCGACCCAGTGCCCCCGCCTTTCCCTGCGGCACCAGGGTGGGGAGAAGGCGTGGCAGGGAAGGGCCCCCGCGGACCCGGCCACTGAGCCCGCTCCTTCCTTGGTGCGATGGACGAGCCATGGGGAAGCTGGCGCCGAGGAACCCCGAGGCCCCCGCACAGGCCTGCGGCTGCCGCTTGCCTGGCGCAAGGAAGGAGCCGCGTCGCTCTTTCCCCGCCTCGCCTGTCTCCCCAGAGACGTCTTCTGCGGGAGGATCCAGTGCGTCGACGTCAAGAAGCTGCCGAGAATCGCAGCCGGACAGGCCGTCCTGCAGACCCCCGTGGGCAGCGAGGTCTGCTGGGGCATCGAGTTTCAGGGGAAGAGCGACCTGCACGACCTCGGAGCCGTGAGGGACGGGTCGCCGTGTGGCGAGAACAAGGTGGTGCCTCGGGGTGCCGGGGCCGCCCCTGGGGTCTCGCCTGCCACGCGAGCAGCGGGGTGCCCCGCTGCAGGAGAGCCCCGCGGAGCTTCTGGCGCAGCATTAAGATGCCTCCGTTTCCCGGCTTCGTAAAGCCAGGGTCTTCGTAAAGCCAGGGCCCACCGGGCGCTTCCCGGCTCAGCCTGGCCGCTGCCGCTCCCTGCTGGGTGGGCGGTCGTGGGGGCGGCCTCAGCCCGCGTGCCCCTTCCCAGCATGGCCTCCGCTGCCGGACGTTCTCCCGCCTGGGGCTGCCCCATCCTGAGGGGGTGGCTTGCTGTTCTTGATGGGCCCACGGACACTTCTCCTCCCGCCCCCTTGCAGGCGTTCACGTCTGGTGGTGCTTTGCTCCACTTCCGTGGTTGCACAGGCGTCTCCCCACTTTTCCTCCATGGCTTCAACCTGCCTGGGCCCAATCCGTGCCGAGCGGGGACGCTCCTCATTGCGCTCTTTCCTGCCAGCCATTACTCTAAGGCGGACTCTGGGCTGGGCTGCCTTCCGGCAAGGCCCCTGAGACGCCTCGAGATTGTCTGCACCCTCTTAGATTCATGCGCTTTTGAGAGCACGCCTGGCTGGTCGGTCTTCAACTGCTTTCGGTGCTCACCGCCTCCTCCCGCCCTCGCGTGTTATGCGAATAGCACATGATTTGGGCATCTAGTAAAAACCACAAACCAAAAGCAGAAGAACGCGGAGGAACGCTGCGGATCCCGGGTCAGAGCCGTAACACGTGTGCATCCTGTTTCTAGATATGTGTCAACAGAACCTGCGTTCACCTGAAAATTCTGAATCACGACTGCGATTTCTCAAAATGCAACCACCAGGGGGTGAGTCGCGAAGGCGGCAAAGGCGCCTCCTTCCCAGACCAGAGCAGGCCAGGTGGGGTTAGCGGAGGGTCGGCTTGCTCGTGTCTCTCTTTTCCCAATTCCCCACCCGGTTGGGGATGCTCGGCTCGGCTCAGCACGCACCATGGGGCCTGCATCACCAGGGAGGCCCCGGGACATCGGGAGGTCCAGCCCTGAGTTCTGCAGCCCCTGAAAGCTGAGTCCCCACCTGGCCCTGCACGGGCGCTGTGGGAAGACCTGCAGCAGCTGCAAAGTCGCAGCGGGGGGGGGGGGGGGTGGGGGGGGGGGGGGGCGTGTGCTGCACCCCGGGGGGGGGGGAGGCGGCTGGGGCTGAAGCCAGTTCTTCCAGTGTCCAGCCCTTCCCCGCCCCTCTCTGGCACTTTATCCAGATGGCTAAAAACTGATGCGCGAAAGCCCCACAAAGTCTGGAGCAAACCCACTGCCAGTTAAATGGTGGCGAAATGCATGGATGCAGGAAGAAGCCTCCTGGTGCCCCCCAGGCGTGGTGTTCCAGGGAGTGGGCGCTCTGGCTGGGAGGAGGATGCTCCGCGCCCGCTTGGCCTTCACCCTGGCGCTGCTCAGGCGGCACTTGGAACGGGTCTCGGGATTTAGATTTACAGAACTGCCTCCCACTGGCAGGAGGGGAGGCACCTTGTGGCACCCCCCCCCCCAGCCCCTTCCCTGCCGTCGTCCTTGCCTCGGGCCCCCTTGCCTGTCTTCACCGGCCGGAGGGCTTGCTGCCACCCTGGCGTGTGCCGGCGAGGGATGGAGCTGGCCGGAGACTGCCCTGCCAGAAGGACCGGAGGTCAGGGGCCGTGCACGCGGCTTCGCCACGCACGTCCGGCCAGACTCGAGGAGCTGCCCGGCATGGGGCCCTTGGTGAGCACTTCCGGCGCATGGTTTGTGGGGCCGTGCAAGACCCGCCGTCCTGCATTCGGCAGCCTTTCTCGTGCTGCTCTTGGGGTGCGGGGAGCCTGCTGCCTTTCGGCTAGCCCAGCGCCACGGGGGGCAGAGTCTCGGCGCAAGCGTGGAGTAAAGTTGCACCGACCCACGTCGGGCAGGTTTCGTGAAAGGAAGGGGATCAAGTCCTGGAGCTGGGTGGCTGGGAGGCGGAATGCAGAAGCGACGGACTAAGAGGGGGGGCGCCCAGGCGCGCATGCAGGCACCCCTGTGCTGCTCACCCCCCCTCCCTCTGCTGCAGGTGTGCAACAGCAAGAGGAACTGCCACTGCCGCTACGGGTGGGCCCCCCCCTCCTGCACTGGCAGGGGATACGGGGGGAGCATCGACAGCGGCCCCCCTCCAGAGAGAAGGAGTGAGTGCCGGCAGCCCCTGGTCCCCCGCGTTCCCCTTCGCCCCGCCTCCTGCGCCCGTTGGCTGTCCCCACGTGCCCCTCGCGGGTCCTTTCTCTTCCGGGGCATTTCTCCCCGCCGGGCCGCTCTGCTGCAGGCGTCTTGGGCTGGCTCGCTCTGCATCGAGCTGCGTGCCCGGCCCAGGAGAAACCCCCTGGAGCTGCCGCAGAGCCTGCGGGCCACACATGGGGGCCTTCTCCAGCCTGCCTGCCCCCCGCCTTCGAGAATGCAGAGCTACCTCCCCTGGAAGTGGGAGACCGGGGGTCCGCGGGGGGTTCCACGCACGCACGCACGCCGAGCGAGCCGCCCTTTCTCCCGCTCCGCTTCCAGAATCGAAAAGGTCCCTGATGCTGGGGTCCCTCATCGGGGTCGCCCTGCTCCTGCTGGCCCTGGGCCTCGTGCTGAGGAAGTACCTCCACTCGTGGTAAGCAGCCGCCCCCCGGCCGGTCGGCCTCGGCCGCTCGCTCGTGCCCTCGGTTGCGCCCCGCGGCCAGGCAGGCTTCCCACGTCGCCAGACGGGGCCGGCGTGTGGGCGGAGGCCTCCACGTGGGAAGCCCCTCACTCTCTCGCCCCACGGCCAACGCCAGGCCACGGGCCCCTTTGCTCTGCAGGAACTGGCTCGGAAGGCTGATCAAGGAGAAGGCCTCCCTGGAACCGATGGATTCGCTTTCTTCTCCGGAAGCGACGGACACGCTTTCTTCTCCAGAGCCGATGGATTCGCTTTCTTCCCCAGAAAATATGGCAAGCGGGTTGTTTTTCTGGAAGGGCTGAACCAAGACTCACATCTCTGAGAGAGAGGGGGGGGGGGGAGAGAGAGAGAGAGAGAGAGGTGCTGGGGGGGGGGGGCGGGCAGAGGAAGCAGCCCCTCCCAGTCAGCCTGGCAGCTCGCCCTCAACACTGCACTGCTCTCCCCACTGGGCGGTGGCCCCACAGCCCTCTGGCAGGCGCCCTGCCTAAAGCGAGCCTCTTTGCGGGGGATGCTGGGGCGACGGGGCGCCCCCTGGGGCCCCGCCAGCGATGCTCCTTTCTCGTCTTCCAGGGATCCGTGAGGAGCTAGCCGAGCACAGGCGGCAGCTTGTCCGGCCCCGAAACGGGGCGGCCTGCTCTGCAGGGAGCGATTTGTGTAGCGGGAGGTCACCGAAGAGCCGGAGGAGGAGGAGGGGGAGGAGGAGGAGGAGGAGGAGGAGGAGGAGGCGGAGGCGGCCGGGAGGGTCATCGGCTGCCTTGGAACACAATTCGTTTGTCACGGCTGTCTCAGGCAGGAGCAGCCCCTGCCACCCAAGAGGGAAATATACCACGTATCCCCCACGTTTGCGATTCCCAGACTTGCTGTGTGCAACGCTTCCCTCCTCCTGCAGAACCTGGGCTCCCAGGAACAGAGGAAGCTCCGCCGGGCTGCTGGTCCGCTGGGCCCAGTACTGCCTACTCAGGCTGGCAGGGGCTGGGGAGGAGGAGCTGGTTTCCGTTTGTCCTGGGCAGGACGCATCCACGCCACACCTGTCAGATCAAAAGCAGGCCGGCCCAGAGGCAATCCGTGGTCGACGTCTGGATGTTTCTGAGCTCGCAGCCTGGACCAGGCAGCCCTGACCACGTGACAGCGCGTTGGACAGCGTCCATTTGAAACGTGCATGAAAAATGCACCATTGACACATTTTAGAAGAAGCTTTAATCAGTGGGAGGAGAATGTACACGTTTCAAAGATGTGCAGAATTGCATATGGAACAATATGCATGAAGGTATACAGATTCTCATGCAAAAAGGGAAAAACAAAGCTCACAATTTGGACTCGAGCGGGAACACGCTGGGAGGCGGAACGTGGAGCATTTCGGTGCGTGTGGCTGCTTTTCCGCAGCACCAGGACTCCAGGCTCCTGGGACTCCAGGCAGGGCGCTCACCTGGCCCCGCCTGGAGATGCTGGGGCTGCCCACCAAGCACACGCTCCTCCACGGCACCCCTCGCCTCAGTTTACCCAGAAATGGGCGGCCTGGATTGCAGGGAGTGGAGCTGCTTCAGGCCTTCTCTTTGCCCCCTGCCCTGAGCTGCAGGCAGGCTCCTCCATACGCCGCGCTTGCCCCGCAGAGCCCGCCCACCCACGCCATGCATCCCACCACCCGCCGCGTCCACCACCAGCCAGCACTGCTGGGGAAAGCGGGCAGGGCAGGCGCTTCTCCTCCCGTGGCGCCTCCCATCAGAGCCAGGAACTGGGCCCCCTCGCGGTGTGGGCCTGGCGGGGAGCCAGACAGACGGGCGGCGTCGGGCTGCTTCCGACCGTCCAGCTCACGGGTCGGCCCCATGTGGGTGGTTCGTGGCATCCGTGTCACGGCGGAGAGCCGTATGCTCATAGCCTGCTCCAGATGCGGACGGGCCCAGAGAGCCTTGGGAGTCAAAGGGAGGAGACGCTGCGACGTCCCTGTGCTCCCTCAGGCCGAGCGGCCCATGCTCAGCACCAAGCTGAGACAATCCTGCCCGTTGTCGCTCTTCCCGTGGGGCCGTCAGCAATCAAAGCCCGTCATCAGCCGTCAGGAGGGCCTGAGGGCCGGGGGGACCTTTCAGTCTGGGCGCCAGGAGAAGACCAGGGGCTTCTGCGAAGACAGGAGAGGGGGCCCAAAGTGGATGGCGCTCGGCAGAGCAGGGGAAGCCGTGGGAAGAAGCCAATGCGCCTCGACGAGAACGCAGGAATTGCTGGAAGCCAACACGGATTTCTCCGGAACAAATCCTGCCAGATGAACTTGTCTTCGTCGTTCGACTGGGCAGCCTCCCTGACCGACCGTGGGGATGCTGTGGACATAATCGAGCTGGGGTTTGCCAACATGTGGAACAAACTCCCCCCAGACATCCTGAGTGCCAGACCAGCGAAAAGCGGGCTAGATGGTGCAAACTTTAGGTAGATCCACAATTGGTTGCAAAACAGGATTCAAAGAGAGCTCATGGATGGCACATTCTTAAACCAGGGAGGGGTGATAAATGGATGCCGAAGGGTTCCTTCCTGGCACTGCTGCTCTTCATCATTTTTACTAATGCTTCAGATGAGGAAGTACAAGGAAAGATGATTAAATTGGCAGAAGGCACAACGCCGGCTGGAACAGCAAATACCCTGGAATAGAGCTAAGATCCAGGGTGATCTCAGTGGGCTGGAACGCTGGCACAGAGCAGGAGGATGCAACTCAATAAGGACAAATGCCGACTCCTCCACTGAGGAACAAGAACCCGAACGCGTTGTCAGGAAATGGGGAACACTTGGCCCAACGATACTGCAAAGGAAAAGGATATCGGGGTGGCCGTAGATCACAAGCTAAATAGGAGCCAGCAAGGGGATGCAGCTGCCAGAAGGGCAAACGCCATTTTGTGCTGCATTAACAGAAGCATCCCCTCCGAAGCACGTGAAGGGCCAGTCCCCCGCTGCTCAGCCCTAGTCAGGCCTCGGCTGGATTGCCCAGTTCTTGCCATCTACGTTTTAGAAAGATGCAGGAAAACTAGAAAGGGTGCAGAGGAGGGCGGCGAGGATGGTTCAGGGCCTGGAGGTGAAGCCCTGTGAGAAAGACGGAGAGAACTGGGCGTGCTCAGCCCCTGGAAGAGAAGGCTGAGGAGGGTAGGATAGCCCCGTACAAGTGCCTCAAAGGCTCTCGCAAAGAGAAGGACAAGATCTCATTCATTCCCGAGTGCAGGACACTGAACAACAGACTTAAGTTCAGAGACCAGATCTAGACTGGACACAGGGAAGGATTTCCTCCCTGTCAGAGCGGTGCCACAGTGGAACCCGTTGCAGGGGGACGCTGGGGGCTCTCCCTCGCTGGAGACATTCAGAAAGCCTCCGGCTGCCCTTCGAGAGGGACGGCTCGGCTGGGAGTCCTGCACTGCCGCTCTGGCCCTCCAGCCCCTTCCAACCGGATTCTGAGCCGCAAGCACCACGAGGCTGGAGGAGAATGAGGAATGGGCGACGGGGCCGTGGCTGCGAAGGGTAGGGAGGCCACGAGGCTGGGGCTGCTCCCCTCCGGAGCGCTGCGCCACGTCCAGAGCAGAGGCTTGAGGCTCTGGCCAGCGGCCCCCGCCACGTCGAGCAGGGGCGCCAGTGGGGCAGCCGGCGCCCGCCCTGCCACGCACGCCGGGGGCATGCCAAGCCCGAGCCCGCTGGGGCCGAGGACCGCAGGCCTTGCTGGCCGGGGTCAGGCGCGCCCGCCCTGCGCACCGTGCGCCACCACGAACCGGCGGGGCGCCCCAGGCTTCCCAGCCCGGCACACCGGCGAACGGCGGCTGGCCAGCCCCGCACAGCCCGGGAAAGAACCCGGGCTCTGCTGCCGGGGCGAGCGGCGGCTCTCCAGGCTCGTCCTCCCAGACGGCGCGGTTTCAACGGGGGGTTTTGTCGGAAGGCGCTCAGTCGGGAGGCCCTACTCCCCCCGCTCCCCGGTTGTTGCAAGGCCGCCCGGAGACCTCACGCAGCGTAGCACCCACCCGGCCGCCTCCCTCGCGCCCCCGCCGCGCTCCGGGCGCCCCCCTCCGCCGGGGAGCGCGCGCGGCCCCGCCCCCGGATGCCCCGCCCCGCGGGGAAGACGAGGCGCCCTCGTCACGTGAGGAGGGCGCGCACGTGACGGCCGCTCCCGCCTTCGGCCTGCCCCCGGCCGGCAAGCAGCATGGACGAGGAGGAGGAGGAGGAGGAAGAGCAGTGGCTGCTGGAGTCTCTGAGGCTGTAAGTCAGGGCGCGGGCCTTTCGGCGGGGCGACCCCCGGGGACCCCCCCGCTGCGTGCCCGGATGCAGCCGCGGCTGCCGCGCTCCCGGCCAGGCGGGCCCCCGGCACACGAAAGCCCCCCGCGGCCAGCCTCCCCAGCCAGCCGGCCGGCCGGCCGGGGCTGCTGGGAGGCGCGGGCCGAAGCGCGGTCCGGCTCCCTCGCCCGCGGGCCCGGGCGCTTTGGCCGCGCTGGGCGGGGGTCTCCCGGGAGCCCCCGGCCCCCGCGAAAGCGGCGCTCAGCGTCCCGCCGCGGGGCTGGCCGGGGGCCGCGGCCCCCCAGCCTCCGGGGGAGCGCCCCGCCCGGCCCATACGACCCCGTGCCGAGATTCAGCAGCCGGGCATCGGCAGACACCCCTCCTGATGGGGAGGCCTCCCCCGCGGCAGCGCGGCCGCGGGGGCCACTGCGGAGAGGGCCCCGGCCTGGCACCTGCCCGCCTGGCAGCTCCCGAAGAGGCGCCGTCGGCAGGGGCTCTGCGGGTGAGCCTGCTGGCCGGGGGATGCGGCCCCGGGCCCGCGAGCCCCCAGAGGCCCCGCAGAAGGCAGGGGCGCCAAGCCCCCCGCGAAGGGGGCGGCTTGGTGGAGGTGCTTCGGTGCCTCCGCACGGGGGGCCGATCCGCGCTCGGACGCTTCCGGGCGCTCCCCGCCCTCTCCCCGCGCCGCGCGCCCCTGGCCCGGCCCGGGGGTGCCTCTGACTCAGCCGGCCCCGTTGGCGCTGCGTAGGTACGACGACCTGCACCTCTTCGAGCTCCAGGAGCCCACCCGGGTCATCGAGTGGACGGGGGACACACGTGAGTGGCGCCCCCCTCCCCGGGGCTCGTTCCGGGCAGCTGCTTGTGGGGGCTCCTGCGAGCAGACCCCACGCAGGGCTGGGGCCCCACTCCGCTGGCGGAGCCGCTGGGGCGGCCTTCGCTTTCTCTGCGGGGCCGGGGAGCTGCAGGGGCTCCGCGGAGGCGCTTGCCGCAGGCTGTTCTCTGCTGCAGCTTTCAGGCCACCTTGTGCAAGGGCCGTTTGGGGAGCTGCGGGGGAGTGTGGGAGTTGTAGTCCAACGGCTGGAGGGCTGGTGTGCAGGCAAGCTGGGTCTGATGGAGCTGCTTCTGTAGGGTTATTTATTTGCTTATCTGTTGCTAATGCCCGAGGAAATAAATTTCTCTGGGTGTTTTATAGCAATGTTAAAGCAACATTCAGCCAACTCTTTGCAGCAGATAAGTGCGCTGGCGCCACATGAAATGCACTGTCGCATTGCTGAGTGTGGCAGCCAAGACTGTTGGGACCAAGATAGCAGGACACCAGTACTAAGCTGTTAAAAAGGGGCATCGGAGACTTTGGATTTTTAGAAAAATGCTTGGGAGGAGAGGCTTGGCCTAACCTGGCACCGGAAGGGCGGGGACTTGGGTGCCAGGTGGGCTTCCCATGAGAGAGGATTCCTGAGCCGGGGTGGCACTACCACAACAGTTCCCATCATGTGGCGCTTTGGAAGCTCCTCCCTGGGGCAGCTGCTTGACTCGCAGCCAGCGGTGGATGAGGGAGGGGCCACCTCCCAAACTGGGGGCCGAGAAACTGACCTGTTCCGAGTGCCACAGACGCAGACATCCCGGAAGGGGCTTTTGGTGTTCCAGGCCATCAGGCTGCCTCTGACCTATGGTGACCCCATGATGGAGAGCCCCCCAAGTGCCCTGCTCAGCTCTTTTGCACTCAAGGCTGGGGCGTCTTTGATGGAGCCCCCCTTCTCCGGTGTGCTCTTCCCGTCTTCTGCCTTGGACCCTCACTGGCCTGACAGCTTCTCTGGGCGCTGGCCTTCTTGGGCCATGCCCACAGTTCCCTCCTCGGTTCCCCCTTCCTGCATCCAGGGCAGGTTCTGGCTTGATTTGGGCTGGACCCACCCCTTCATCCTCCTGTGGGGCAGGGTACTTGCAGGGCTCTGCTTCAGTACCCGGAAGGCTAGTCCTCTTCAAACCCACGTCGGGGGGGGGTGGCTGTAGGAGCAGCCTGGGTGACCCAGTGCGGAGGAGCATGCTCCACGTGCGAGGGGCATCGGTGTGGCTGGAACGGCCTAAAACCGTCACGCCAGCGAGGCGCGCGAGGGCCGGGTGGAACCAGCCTAGGCAGAGGGGTGGGAAAAGGGCCCCGGGGCCGTGGCGCTGACTCGTGGGCCAGGCCGTGAATGCCCCGGTCGGCTGTGATTCTGCGTCCAGGAATCTGCGTCGCAGGCTACGGGCTCGGAAGACGGCATGAAGTGCTGCGGCTGCGCCTGCCCCCGAGGCTGTCTGCGCGGGAGAGCCAGGTAAGGCCCGTGCGCAGGGCGGGGGCCTGCGCTGCTCAGCCGCCTCCTAGGTGGGCCCCCAGTGTCCGGCCGCCGGCCCCACAGCGGGCGCACCCGGGTTCCAGTGGGGTGCCCCTTGCAGCTCAGGCAGGTGGCCTCATGGGCCCCCGTTTGCAACTCTGCAGGGCTTGTGTCCAGAGAGAGACTTCACGGTCGAGCATGGTGGAATTTCTGAGCGCCCCGTGTACCAGCTGAAGCACGTGCCAGAGACCAGGTACGGGATGTGAGAGGGCTTGGCGGCTCCTTTTGGGGTTGGGAGGAGGGCTCCCTGCCCCAGAAGGAAGGGGGAGCTTAAGCACCGAGGAGCACAAGCTCCAGCAAGGCTCGTGGGTCTCTCTGACACAAACGCGGTTCTGACATGGCGTCAGGCCACGGTTTTCTGTCAGAAACCTGCACCATGGTTTGAGCTTCCAAGCATACAGTGCTCACACCATGGTCTGAAATGGCATGTCTGCTCCGATCCCCCATCTGCTGGGTCCTTGTCTCCATAGTGCAGCGGCGACCATGGCTGGGTTTGCCGACGGTCTGCGAACTGAGCCCCGAGTTCATGCAAGCCGTGTGTCTGAGCACTGCGGTTGGTTGATCTTGGTCTGGCAGCCCTCACGAGCCGCCGTGTGTGAGCTGGCATCAGTCCCGGCTGCCCGAACAAGCCGTGCTTTGGCACCCTGTCCGCATGCGGCGCCTGAGCTGGCACAGGGGCCTCTTGGCCACAGCTCCTCTGCCCGGCGCAGCCCTCGGGTCCTGTGGTCGGGGTGGCGCACATCCTGCTCTCGCTCTGGACATGCAGGTTTGGGATGCCGATTCCGGGGAGTCAGCCGATTTGGGGGCCGACACTTTACACTCGGTAGCAAAAAGGTCTCCCTGGTTCCTTCTGGACTCTTTCTGTCCGCCAGGCTGACAGTGGCGGGCGCAGTGGCGTGTCCGTGTCAGAGCACACGTGGTCGGCAAGGCCCAGGGCCCCCCCCACCCCCATGCTGAGGGGCTGCAACGGCCCAGCTCCGGCTTTTGCGGGGGAAGGGGAGGGGAGGGGAGGCTGCAGGGGGAGTCCGCAGGGGGACCCCTCCTCCCAGGCCGGGCTGGAGGGCTTGGAGGAATGGAGGCGAGAGAGACGGAGTCCCCGCAAGCTGAGTGGCGCCCCGCGTGACCAGTGCGGGCCGTGGGCGGAGAGCAAGGCAGGGCCCCGCCGAGAGCACACTGCTGGGATGAAGGGGGCTCCTGCCGGAGCCGCCGGAAGCGTGGAAGTGGGCCGTGGGAGGATGTGCGCCCTTCGGCTTCGATTTGGAACGTGGCGTGCCGGCCTCTTTGCCCGGGATGGGGGGCAGTGTGCGGTGGGGAGGGGGACGGCGGCCCGTGCTCTGCCTGCGAAGGCTGCCCTTCCTGTTGGCTTCTGCCCATAGCTTGCTGGTGACCAGCGGCCCGCCGGACGGCCTGCTGCAGGTGTGGCGCATGGCGGAGGAGGAGACAGGTGAGTGGGGGGCACGTCCCGGAGGGTAGCCGCCAGGTGGGACAGATCCCGGTGCGGGGGCCGCTCTAGCGAGGCCCTGCGGAGAGCACCACGGCCCCTGAGCTCCCACGGAGGCTGCTTGGAGCGGGGCCTTTTCCGCGGTGGCTCCCGCACGGGCAGCATTCGTGGAACAGCAGCAGTGCAGCTGGGTCCTGCCCGTCTTCCTCCTGCGAGGAGCCCAAGGTGGGGTGCAGACGAAGCCTCCGCCCCTCCCCCTGCGCCTGTGTGCAGCACGCAGGTGTGTTACGAGCGCCTGGTGAGCGTGCGTTTGATTTTTCATCCCAGGAAGGGTGGGTCAGAGGTGGCCCGGCACTGGAGACTGGGCCGTTGGGCAGGTCCTTTGCCGACCAGCACGTTTGCTTGGGAAGGTCAGACTGGGGGAAGCAAGGCACCAGTCCTCAAGCATCTGGGTGGCCGAGCTGCAGAAGTCGTGCTCTGCGGGCTTGCCAGGCAGGGCAGGATCCCGGACTGGAAGGGCCGAGGAAGCGGTCGTCCTCGCAGGGGCCTCGGGGGCAGCCGTCCTCGCTTTCTCTTCGTGTTCCCCTCCCACCCCAGATGCTATTAAGCTTGTCAGCACAATCCAAACCGCGCACAGAGACGAGCGCTCCTGGGCGAAAGTCGCCACCGCCTCAGCCAAGCCGGCGCGGGTCCTTCACGGGCTGAGAGTCAACGACGTGCAGGTGACGGAGATCGAGTCTGGAAGAACCATCTTTGCGGCAGGTACCCCTTCGTTGTGTGGGTGAGAAACCTCTCGTGTGCCAGCCCCATAGCTCAGCGACCCTCAGAGGCCACAGTCTGCCCCGTGTGGAGCCCCCCACGCCCGGTTTTCTTCCTTTTGCATCCACGTGGGAGCCTTCTGCACATCTCCCCGCGTCCCTTGCCCCTGGAATCCTCCTGCGGGGTCGGTTGCGGGCACGGCATCAGCTCAGCACCGCCAGGAGGTTGGCGGCCCTCAGGAGCCCAGCGGAGCTAAGCCTCTTTGAAGCAGGTGGCAGAGGCTCACGCCGGTCTGGGGTGCGGCTGGCCCCAAGCGGAGGCGTCACTCAGTCACAGAGCCCCCTGTGCGGTCGCAGAAGTGCCTCTGGTGACACCGCGGCTGCCGCCCCCGCCCCTTCCTTGCTGAAAGGGGTACGTGGGGCGTGGAGCCCGGAGGACAAGGGTCTTGGCAGCTCATGTTGCGAGGGGGGAGGCCATCCCTCCTTCCTCTGGGAGGCGGCGTCCGCAGGATGTGAGCCAGCGAGTTGCTGCCGCCGCCATGCTGGAGGGGCACTGGCTGCCCCTTTTGCCTCCGGCCCTCTGGCACGGGGGGGGGGGGAGTGTGCTCCCCTGGCAAGGGGAGAGCCGGTTTTGCAGAAGGCACCTTGCCCGGGCCTTGCTCAAGGGCTTCCAGCCCTGGCGCCCGCTTGTTTTTCTCCAGAACGGGCCGTTTCCCCTTCTGGGGCAGTGGAGTTCAGGCAAGCAGGCGGGGGGGCGCCATTCTTGGCCCGGAGGGGCTCTGCTCTGGGCCCCACCTGCCACACGGCACCTGAGCCAGCCTTGTGCCCATCACGCGTGAGTCCACAGAAACAGAGCGGGTCAGAAGGGGTCTCCCGAGCCATCTAGTCTGACCCCTGGCTCCAGCCGGTTCCACTCATGACATGCCCACCATGTGCATCTCCAGCCTATCCTTGAACACCCGCACCGATGGGGCCTCAACGATCTCCCGTGGAAGCCCATTCCACACCCTCGGGGTCCTGACTGTCAGGAAGTGCTTCCCGGCATCCCAACTGAACCTGGGTTCCCTGAGCTTGGCTCCGTTGGAGCGCGTCCTGCCTTCCTCTGCAGGGGAGAACAGGTCTCTGCCCACCTCCGTGTGACACCCCCTCACATACCTGTATGTCACCAACAGACCCCCTCTGAGTCTCCTCCAGGCTGAAGAGACCCAGTTCCCTCAGTCTCGCCTCATACGGCATCCCCTGCAAACCAGCCACCAACCTTGTGGGCCGACGCTGCACTGACTCCAACCTGGCTATATCCTTCCTGTAATGAGGGGCCCAAAACTGAGTACAATACTCCAGTTGCGGGCACACCAGAGTCGTGTAGAGTGGTAGTAACACTTCTCTCAATCGAGAAGCCACACTTCTGGCTATGCAACCAAGGGTGGCGTTCACCCTCTTGACCACCGCATCACACGGCTGGCTCATGTTCAGCCTGCAGTCGACCAGCACCCCGAGGTCCCTTTCACAAGTGCTGCTCTCCAGCCACTTGTCCCCTAACCTGTACTTATGACACCCATTCCTATGCCCCAAGTGCAAGACCTTGCACTTACCCACTTTGAATGCCATCCTGTTGTCTCCTGCCCACTTCCATAGTCTGTCCAGATCCTTTCAGATCTGGAGCACCTTCTCCTCAGTTGTGGCCACTGCCCCAGTTTTAGTGATGTCTGCGAATTTGATCAGCAGACAGTTCACCCCTTCTTCCATGTCGTTAATGAAAAGATTAAACAGGATCGGCCCCAGGACAGAGCCCTGGGGGACCCTGCTTGCCACTGGCGACCGTGCCGACGATTCCCCGCTAATGGTTACCCTCTGCTTTTGGTCAGTCAACCATGCCCTAATCCACCAGACAGTGCTTTGGTGTATCCCAAAACTCCTCAGTTTCTCCACCAGGATATCATGGGGCACTTTGTCAAAGGCCTTGCTGAAATCCAGGTAAACCACATCCACTGCATCCCCTCCATCCAGCCGCCTCAAAACCTTGTCATGGAATTCCACCAGGTTTGTCTGGCAGGACCTGTTTTTGCGGAAGCCGTGTTGTGTGGCTGCCAGCCTCCCTTCCCTATCTAGCATCACTAGATCTCTCTCTATTATGAGCCTTTCCATTGTTTTTCCTACAATGGACATAAGGCTAACCGGTCTGTAATTCCCCATGTCCTTTCTACTACCCTTTTTGAAAATTGGGGCCGCTGATGCCACCCTCCAGTCCTCTGGAACTTCACCCGTTCTCCACGAGGCCTCAAAAATGGGGGCCAGCGGGCACGAGAGAACCCCTGCCAACTCTCTAAGTACTCTCGGGTGTAACTGTCAGGGCCTGGCGCCTTTGTAATGTCCAATGCCCTGAGGAGCCCCTCGACTTCAAGGGGGTGACTCTAATCTGTGCCCCTAAGTCCCCGGCCTCATCTCATCTCCTATGCGGATCTCCCCCATCCTGCTTTGGGGAGAACACAGAGGCAAAATAGTCATTTAGCATCTGTGCCTGTTCCCTCGTATCAGTCACTGGATCTCCTTCCTCCTTATTTAGCGGTCCCACCACTTGTCTCCCCTTCCTCTCCCTATTTACATGCTGAAAGAAGCCCTTTTTGCTGCTCTTGATATTCTTGGCAAGTCTCAGCTCGTAATCAGCCTCAGCCTTGCGAAGAATCCTTCTGCTACGGGCCTCCTCCTCCCGGTATAGTCCATGCAGCTGGCCAGGACGGCAGGCGCATCCACACAGCGCGATGGGCCTGTGGCGCCCCTTCAAGCCATGCTCTTCCGGGAGAAGCATGGCGAGCTGGGCACTGCCATGCTGAGGTGCTGGCCGGATGGCTCGGGGGGGAGGGTGCCCTTGCCCAGGCGTGCATTCCAGGGCAGGGGGCCGTGCGGGTGGAGCGGAGGCAGGTCCCTGTTTGGCGAACAGGGGCGCCTCGTTTATTCGTATGGCTTGCTTCTGTCCCACTTTTAAGGTTCTTGCAAGGAAAGCTTGGCCCGCCTCCTCTCCCTTTTATCCTCGCAACAACCCTCCGAGGTGGGGTAGGTGAATCAGAAGGAGGTCTAGGACCCAAACCGCCCCAGCCCAGCATTCTGCTCACTTTTGGAGAAGTGCCTGCACCATGAGGGCTAGAAACCTCCCCCCGCTGACTTTTAGTTTGGTGTTGGCTGGTATTCATCCCAGTGGGGGAGCGGCAGGCAGAGGAGGGTGGGGGCTGGAGCGGGATGCCGAGGCGACCTGGCCGGCTGCAGGCGCAGGCCCAGGCCGGCTTCCCCGGAGGCAGCCGGACGGCGCTGGCAGCAGCCCTGTCCACACGCGGCTCTTCCCCACCAGACTCCGAGAGCCCCGACGAGATCGCCACGCTGGACTTCCTGGATGAGGCCACCGGGCTGGCCTGCAGTGCGCGGGGTCAGCTCTTCTGCGTGGACACCAGGCAGCCCCGGGCCCCCCTGGGAGCCGCCGCGGAGGCGCCCATCCCTGCCGCCCTGGGTGGGCAGCGCTGGTGTGCGGGCGTCAGCCGCTGCCCGCGGGGGTCTGCCGGGGACAAGCCTCTGGTGGCCCGGCTCTCGGCCGGGGGTCACGTCGTGCTGACGGACATCAGGAATGCCGCGAGCCCCGTCCAAGTCGCCCAGTGCCCCGTCCCCACGGCGGGCCTGCAGGGGGGCGAGTTCCAGTCCGTCTCCTTCGCCCCGCTGCTCAGCAGCTGCCTTGCGGTGTCTGGTACGTCTCGGGAGAGCTCAGCCCTGTGGGGTGCGGGGGGGGGGGCACAGCGGGTGCCTGGTGGGCTGCACTGCCTCAGCCTGTCCCCAGGGCTGCCCCGGGGGCAAAAGCACGGCAGGGGCGGAGCGAGTTGGCTCTGCAAGGCCCAGTCATGGTTGTGCTGGCCGGGCGGCAGCCCCCGAAGTGGGGGGCCAGGGCGAGCTGGGGCAGAACCTGCGTGCCTGTGGCGGCTTCCGGGGCCACGCGGCTGCTCACGTCCCACTCCTGGGCGGCCCCGAGGGGGGTGGGGTGACTTGGCGTCCTGCCCCAGCAGGGGGTCGGACCCGGTGGCCTTCTGCCCCTTCCAGCTCTGCCGTTCCATGAACTCAGAACTGGGCGCAGGACCCCAGTGGAGGGGAACTGGGATTCCGCGGGATCTGGACGCGATTCTTCTGTTCATGCAGCCTAAAAGAGCGTTGGCCCTTTTGGCAGCCACATCACCTTGCTGGCTCCTAGTCAGCTTGTGATCTGCACCCATGCCAAGCTCCTTCTCGCTTGCAGTATTCTTGAGCCGAGCCCCCCCCCCACACCGCCCCCCATAGCTGGGTGTCGAGTTTCCTTTCCCGGGTGCAGGACCTGCCCTTTGTCCCTGCTGGATTCCCTTCCCTCAGGTTGGCCGGCACTCTTGCCTGTCAAGATAATGCGAAGCTTTCCTCCGTCCCCACGGCCGGAGTTCCCCTCCCACCGCACAGGTACGGTTTGTGTGGGGCAGCTGGGGCCTGCCCCTTTGCCTCCCTGTGCTTGTTCCGTGAAACGCGCCACGCTCTCTCCCTCTCCCAGGTTTCGACGCCACCGTCCAGGTCTACAACACGCAGAGCTGGGGCCCCTCCGGGCGGACCGCTGAGCCAGTGTTTGTGCACAAAGGACACCTTTTCGGCAGCACGGCCCCTGCTGGGCACCCGCCGCTGGTCACCACCCACACCTGGCATCCCAGCAAGCCCCGGACGGTGCTGTCGGCCGCGACGGACGGCTCGCTGCACGTGTGGGGCTGGTCCGACCCTCGCGGGGCCAGCTAGCGCCCTGGCCCTCGGCAGACACGCCCCTGGGCTTCCCCGGCGCCGCGTCTGTGCAGGACGGCCCAGGAAGAGGACCGCAGGCATCGCAGCCAGGCCCCTCCAAATCCATGGGCTCCTCGGCGAGAGGGGAGCTGGGGTCACGGATGTGAGCTCAGCTGCAGATCAGTGGCTCCCATCCCGGCGGGGGTGGGGGGGCGAGATCTTGCACAGGGAAGCGAGAGGCTCTTCGGAGCTCTTTGGGGGCTGCCCCCCAGCCGACCTTCGCCACAGCAAATTCCCTGCCCTGCTTTCCCAGTTGCTCCAAGGCCCCGGGAGATGCCTGGGATGCCCCAAGGGAGCCTTCCTGACTTTCAGGGTGGATGCGGGGGCAGGGGGGTCACAGCAGTGCTTCCCGCCTGGGGTTCCCTTTTCCCCCTCAGGAGAAGAGCAAGCAGTGGGGCTGCCCACGAGCCTGTGGGGCCGGCCTCAAACATTTCGCCCTCTGATGGTGGAGCGGTCCCTTGCCATGCTGAGGCTGCAATCCTCCCTGGGAGTAGACTGTTGAACTCAGTGGGGCTTCTCGCCGAGCTGGCAGGTGTGGGAGGGCACGGTGAGACTCGTCGAGCAGGTGAGGGCCAGCCATGCCTTGAAGGCAGATGTCTCGCTACCGCCTGGTGTTCGCTATTAAGCCCAAAGCAAAATCCACCATCTGTGAATCCAGGAAACTCGAAGACACTGCTCAACATGCAAGCTGAACTTTGCCTGATAATAAACGCAGCACGCAAAACTTTCCTGCACGAGAGGTTTTTAATGCTCTTTCGGCAGGGCTGGGCAGGAACTCTGCGAGCAGCAACTTCCTTCTGGGTGTGCGGGGTGGACAGCACTCCTGGAAGCCCAGGCCTGCGATTTTTGCAAAGAAAATCCCCGCATCATCTGGGCAGCCCACACACAGGCCCCATTAGCTAGTATTTTTTGAGCTGTTCCATGCACAGGCCAGCTCGTATCTGGGCTCCAGCCCTTAGAAACTCAGCCTGCTACTGACACCTGTGTATGTTGGGGGCCCAAAACGGGGGACCCACCGGCACAGTTTACAGAACTTGGGGGCTGCTGGATCTTCACCGGGTGCCTTGCACCCTGCTTTTCTTGCTTCCTAGAAAACCGTGCCCCCCCTTTTGGTCCGGAGGCCTTGAATTCTGCACACTGAAGGGTGTTTTTGGTTAAAAGAGAGAGAGAGTGCGCCCCCGAATGGCCACCCCCTCAGGGAAGCTCCTCCGGGAGGGAGAACGGCCACCTGCAGCATTCGGAGCAGCTGCCCCCCGCAGGGGGTGGGACGGCGCAGGGGCCCCGCCAGGCCTTGCTGCAGGAGGGCGGCTTCGGCACGAGCTCCGTGTGTCCCGGACGCGTGTGCCTGCAAGAAGCCGGCGGCGGAGTCGCTCCAGGCCGACCGACCGACCGCACCACCCGATGCCCGCCTTCCTCCGCGAGGCTGCGCGCCGGGCCATCCTGCGCGGTGCTGGCACAGGAGCTGTGGGCCAGTCGGGGGAGGGCGGACACGCGCACAAAGCAGGCCACGACACCGCCTCGGAGAGGCTCGCGTGCTCGGATTAATAAACTAGAATAATTTATTTTGACAAAAACACAGGAAACATCACAGAGGACAGTGTGGAGGAAGCCGACGTGTTTCGAGGAACCGTACAAAGGAGCCACGTTACAAAATGAGCCCAGCCGCCGCCGTGGTCGCCGTGGTCGCGGCCAGCCAGAGGCCGCCAGGGGCTTGCAGGGGCCGGGAGGGCTTTGAGCCCAGCAAGCCTGGGGCTCTCCAGGCCCGGAAGCCCGAGTGGCGGCCCAGCCAGGCACGCCGAGCCGCCCGCCCGGACCCGGCCACCCCCAGGCTGATGGGTGCGGCGCTCGCTGCCCCCGGGGCCAGCCGAGGTCCACTCTGCCTCCAGCGGGAGGGTGGCCTCAGCGTTCTGGAGGCCTGAAGCACAGGGTTCGCCACGGGGGCTCGGGTGGCCTGCAGACCTGAACGGGCAGGGTCCACAGGCGCCGGACTCCAGTGCACATCCTCCCCACCCAGCGTGGCCCATGGCACCAAGCCCGGAAGGGCACCCGGTGGACCAGGTTGGGTCAAGGTGTGGCTCCAGGCTGTGCCTGCGGGTTCCTGCCCCCGGGGCCCCTTGACCAGGCACAGGGGTAGCCCTGGCTGCTGTCCTGCCGGGAGGCTCGGGCGGTGGGGGGGCAATTCTCTGGGGCGCAGCTGGAGGAGAAGGAACCCTCTTGTCACGATCAGAAAACTCGCATCCCCCCAATTCTCAGGCCGAGGGGTGCTGTTGGGGCCGGAGGGGCTTGCTTGTTCTTATCTAAGATGCGGAGAACACGTTGCTTTACGATATTTGAAAATGCAGCCAGACTGGAGCAGACACTCCTGGTGGGAGATTTTTGCGCTGCTTCAGGTCGGGGGGCTCTTCGGGTGACAAAAATCTTGTTCGGGGGGGGGCGCTCTCCTTGAAGCCCCGCTCGAAAAAGCCTCGCCCTTCCGTGGCTTCAGCCCTGCCAAGAAAGCCGGCCTCACCATCGAGCTGCGATGGCCGGCGGGCATGGGGGCCACAGGGCCTCCCCATGGAGCCCTTGGGGGGGCGTTGGCCAGCCTGGGTGGTAGTCCGGGCCAAGGCGTTCCAGCTGGGCTGGAGGCAAGATGCGGGTCCCCCAGGCAGGAGCGTGGGGAGGGGGCAGGAGGACCACTGGCCCGGGGTGTGCCGGCTGCACCCGCAGCCCCCTTCCCTTCCTGGGCCCACTGGGGCCACGGACGGCGGCCTCTCCAGCCCCCAGCGGCGGATCCGACGCGGTTAGGAGGTTAATGCAGTAGAAAAGAGTGCGATCCATTTCCACAAAGCCGGGGGGGGGAGGTGGGCTAGGGGTACGAAGGGGAAACAGCAAAAAAGGGTGGGGGGCGAGAAAATGGGGTGGGGGGAGCCAGGCTTTCTAGGCAACTGCTGGCCAAGTGGCCCTGGGCCCCCCCTTCACGAATGTCACATCCCCCAGCCCCCGAAGCCAGTGGCAGCGGCTGGTGTCCGGGGGGCTCCCCCCCCCCCCCAGCCCCCCTGTCGCCTGGCCAGTTTCGCGGGGGGAGCCGTGCTGCGTCTGGAAAGAGGCAGCCCCAGTGGAGAGCACAGCACGGCCGACATGCAACCCCCCCCCCCCGCCCCTGCACACAACAGCACACACAAGACGCACACGTGTGCACACACACACCCGGGTGGGCTCACACACCACGGGGGCTCCCCGGGGAGCCCGCCGGCGCCCCTCCGGCTGCAGAGTCGCCCGAAAGAGTTGGCGGGTGGCAGGCCGGCCGACCTGCCCCCGCCTCCCATCCGTGTTTAAAAAGAAAGCCCCCCCCCCCCAACTCATACAAAAGAGAAGCAGCCCGTGCCCGGGTGCCGAGCGAGGCGGCAGCGGCCCCCCCGCTTATCTGTCGTTCAGCTGCGGGGAGTTCGTCCCGTCCTCGTCCTCCTCCTTCTCGTCCTTCACGCCCTTCAGCCTCTGCCGTGCAAAGTCCTCGAAGACGATGTCGTCGTCACTGCCGGGAAGGGGAGAGCGCCGTGACGGAGGAGCCACCCTGCCGCCCGCGAGACCGCCCGGCACGCTCGGAGCGGGGCCCCCACCTGGCGCCCTCCGCAGGGCTGGGATGGCGCCTCCCATCATCCCCAGCCCTGACTAAGCGGCAGGGCATGGGGAAGGCCCAAGGTTCGGCCCAGGCCTCTCTGGGAAGGTGGAGCGAGGACACATAGAAACATAGAAACAGAGCGAGTACGAAGGGGTCTCCTGGGCCATCTAGTCTAACCCCCGGCTCCAGCCGGCTCTGCTCATGACATGCCCACCATGTGCACGTCCAGCCTGTCCTTGAACGCCCGCACCGATGGGGCCTCAGCGACCGCTAGCACATGCCACCAGAAGCCCCAGAGAGGCACCGCCAGGCACACAGGCGAGGGCAGGCTGTGGACCAGGTGGCTTTCCATTCTATGCGAACCCAAGAAAAAGAGAGGGCAGGTTCGGACAAAATGACAAGCCCCGGTGGGTCTTCTGTGCTGTCCGGACCCACCCGATATCTCACCATGGCGAGTTTGGTCTTTAGGAACCATGGCCAGAAACAAAGGTCTGTTCCGTGGTTTCTCCGTATCACCATGGCTTGCGCCGCCTCTACCCAGGATCACGGTTTCCATGATCCTGGTGTGCAAAGGCCTCAGACTCCTCTGGTGACGCAGTTGCTGCTCCGGCCATCCAAGCTCGACCGGGGGGGGGGGGGGGGGGAGACAGATGCCATAGGCAAGAAGCAATGCACCCTGGGACTGAATTTCAGGTGCAAGGACCGATGGAAGGACTGAACTGGGAGAGTGGAAGCAATAATAAACTAGGAACCATTTGTTCCTCTATCAGGGAGATCATGGTAAAAAACCACAACAGCAACAACGGCGAGAGGGAGGGAGGGAGGGAGGGAGGGAGGGAGGGAGAGGCGCTACGGAGCTCTGGTCTTTGACTGGAAAACTTCCTTCCTTTCCTTGTGAAACTGAAGCACGGGGGGAAAATGGGTAGCTCTGCCCTGTGAATTGCGGGATGCCGCTGTGCCAGGAACACCCCCCCCCCAAGCCCGTCCTGCTTGGGAGCAGCTCCGCGACGAGCGGGTGCCATCGCATCTCTCCTGGAACACGCGGGACCTACGGGCGCTTTCCCCTTCGAACAGGTGGCTTTTTGGTGCCACCTCCGAGCGGCCGCTTGCTCAGATACCTGCTTTGGCTCCCTTGAAGCTTCCGCGTAACTGTTTCCATCACCGGCTTAAACCCCGAGGACCCCCTCCCTTGGCTGGTTGCCTGCTCATGTGGGGCCCGTGTGCAGTCCTCGCGCTAGCCCCTGGCCAAACAGGTATCGCAGGTTTTGGTTTCAAAAACCTGCAGGACCTGTATCGCCAGGAGTGACGCGGGGCAGAAGAAAACCAAGGCTGTACTGTGGAAGGGGACGCCCCTCTCCCCATCCCCTCTCAGCTCTCTCAAAAGCGGCGGGCGTGGGGACGGGTGCGTCGGAACGCAGAAGCAACCGGGGATCGAGCGAGCGCAGAGTCCCGGGGCTCTTACTGTGTTTTTCCTGCTTCGAGGAGCACGCATGCAGGAGGTGGTTGCGATCATGCAAAGGAGATGAGGAGAGAGAAGAAACATGCGGCGCACGTGTTAAAAGAGCCGGGCGCGGAGGCTGAAACGGCAGACCCGGAGATGGAGGGCGGCACGGAGGGCTGGTGATGGGCGCGCTGGCCGGTTAGCGAGTTGCATGCGAGGGGGTGGGATGGCGGCAGACTGAACCATGCGCAGGATTCGGCATCCCCATGCAGGCCCCCGGCCCCTCCCGAGCCCCCCAGCCCTCCCCCCAGGGCGTTTGGCTTACTTTGCATCAAGCTCTATAAGATTTGTGTCAAGGGGAGCTTCGTTTTCTGGAACTGAACACACGGAATCGGGACAACGGTTAGTTCCTTGGAAAGGGGTGGCTCTCCATGGCCGCCCGCACTCCACGCTCCCCCGGCTCTTCCTCCTCCTGAGCTCTCGCCCAGCCCTGAGGCTGCAGTCCCCGCTTCAGGGCGGGGGCTTCCCGCCCGTGGGGCTGCAGATTCCATGAAATGCAGCCTCAGGGTCGTGCAAGGCTGGGGAGGGGGCGAACCGGCCCTGGGAACAAGGCGGCGCGCAGAGCGACTCGCCGCACAGGGCAAGGCTGCCACCCCAGGCCCGGCCTCGGGAAGGGGCTCGGGTGGAATCACCCGCGGGAGGGGGAAGGCGGGGGGTCCCTGCAGGAGACGGTCTGGATGCCCGGCCGTCCTCGGGCACCGTTCTGGAGGAGGGGCTGGAGGACAGCAGCCTCCCCCACGTGGGTGCAAAGAGAGGCTCTGCATTTCGGCTCCCAGCAGCCCCAGCAGCGTGACGGATGGGCAGCAACGCGGGGACTCAACCTCTGGCCGCCACACGGCGAGGACGGTAGCAAAGCCACCAGGGGGCGCTGCGCACCGAGCCTGCAGCTGGCCTCCATTCCACGCCCCGCGCTCTTGCGTACCCCAAATCCCATCCTCCTGTGTGTTCTCCGTACTCTGCAGCCCAGCGTCCCAGTGCTTGAACGGCCCCCGAAGGGCCCCGGCTGGTTGCAGAACAAGGGGCACCGCGGGTTTATTTCCGCCTGGGCTTGCCCGGGACTGCCCCCAGGACCACCGCGTCCTCGGTTTCCCCTCGGGAAAATGGTGCCCAGGGCAAACCTCCACAGGCACCACAGCCCTTCAGGCCGACCGGCCAGAGGCAGTGGGTCCGAAAGGGGGCCCTTCGCCGAAGCACGAGCAGCCGGGCGGCGTTCAAGCGCTCCGGCATCACCTCCTGGCTTCGCCCCCCAGGATTCCCGGGATGCTGAGACGGCCACGGAAGGAAGGAGTGTCGCGCCAGGTCCGTCGCCAGCACTGCGCACAGAGGGTGGTGCCACCGAAGCGCGAGACCCACCGGGCACCCGCCCGTTCCCAAAGCGGGCCCTTCCCAAGGGGCCTCCGGCCAGCTCTGCCTCCAAGCAGAGCCCCCCCCCCCCCCCCCCCCGGGGGCACCCGACTCACCGTCTCGGTGCGGCGGCTCCTCCTTCGGCTTCGGGTGCATGAGGGTGAACGGCAGCTCCACAGCCACGTCGCTGCGAAGGCAAGCCCAGCGTGAGCCCCCGCGGGAAGCGCCGGCGCCATGTGCCGCTCCGTGGCGCAGGGAGGGCGCCGGCCGGCTGGGCGCTCGGCAGCACGGCAACCCTCGCCTCGCCTCGCCCCAAGAGAGCCCCACATCACAGGCGGGCCCGGGCGGGCAGAGCACTGCCAGCCGTCCTCCCCCCCTCCCCTCCCCTCCCTCCCCCAGGGGAAGAGCTTCTGGGATTTACTGGCCCGGGCAGGGCCAAACCACCCAACAGAGAAGCCCCGGCCAGGCCCATTCGGGGTCCTGAGGACATGGAGCGGCACAGGACGGGGCAGGCCCTGCTCCTCCCAACGCCCGGAAGCCCGCCCCGCTGCACCCCGCCACTCACGCAGGGGCCCGCGGCTGCCCCTCCCGCAGGACGGCCCCCCCTCCAGGGGGCTGCAGAGGCTTCCTGAGGGGCCTGCCGCGGTTGGGGCAGCCAAACGGACCTCGGCGGAGCATCTCTGCTACTGGGGGCCGAGGGAGGAAGAGGAGGAGGAGGCTCCCCTTCACCCCTGCCCTGCAAGCGTGAGCATCGCGGCTCCCGGGGGTGCCTCCCCCCCGCTTCAGGCCCCCAGCCTCAGGCCTCTTGGTGGCCACCGCCTGCACCGCAATTAAAACCAGGGGCAGAATGAGGAGCACAGCAAGAAAAGCGATGAACGGGCTCCCCGCTCACCAGCAGAGCCAGCCGGCCAGCGCCAGAACGAGCCCGGCCCCCATCTCCCCCCCCCCGCAGGCTCTGCTCCTCTCCCTCGCTCCTCCTCTTCCTCCCCCTGCGCGGAGCAGCTCCCCCTCCCTCTGGGCTCTGGGATGGCCATGCGCTGGAGGGCTGGGACCCAGCGGCTCTGCACCCCCGGGGCACAGCGGGGGGATCTGAGGGGTGGCGCTCCGTGTACTGACCCCAGCTAACAGCCCCTTCCCCTCCCTTCCCCACAGATTTGTCCGTCTTGCAGAAAACTCAGGGAGACACACGGCATGCAATGCTCTGCTCCCTGCATGCGCCGTGCCATGCACACGCCGAGGCTCGTTTCTGCCTGCGTGACACCGGCGGCGCGCCCATGTTCTGGGGAGCACGGGGAACTCGCAGGGGGCCGGACTGGGTGCCCTGGCTGTTTGGGCCAGCAGGGGGCAGCATCGAGCCAAGCCGTCTGCAAGCCGGCAGCTGCAGGCAGGAGAGCAATGCCATGCGGTCCAGCCGGCGTCACTGCGTGCTGGCTGGGAATGATGCGAGGTGCAATCCATCTGGAGGCTGCCCTATGGATTGGAGGCGGCCCCACAGCAAGCTCCAGTCTCCAGAGCTGCTGGCCCCCAAACTGACAGCAGCTCTTCCTCTGTGTACTCTGGACCTTTCTGGGGTCGCACCTCCTGCTGAAGGGGCCATTTGGGGGGGGGGGGGGCAAAGGGGCCTGGCACTTGCCCCAGCAGGGCAGAAACAAACAAGGCCAGGCCACTTTTCCAAAAGCGTAAGAAGAGGCTGCGTGGCAGATTCACCCCCCCCCCCACCATCCTGTTCCCGACATGGAGCCAGGGAGAGGCAGGCAGGCAGATGAGACGGAGACAGCACAGCAGCTGCAGGCACCCCGGGGCAGGAACTGGTGCTGGATCTGCCCCCTCCCGGGAGGCTTCATGCTGAGGGAGGGGTGCACAGAGGCCTGAGCTGCTGCGGGAGGAGGGGGCACCCGGAGACCCCGCAAAGGTGCCCCTTGTGAGCCCGCTTGGAGTGCGAGATGAAAACTGTTGGGAATGGCTGAAATGGTACATGGGGGGGGGGGGGGGGGGGGGGGAAGGGGGGGGGGGGGGGGTGGGGGGTGGGATGCAAGGGCGGGGTGCCACTTTCAGCCACAGCAGGCAGTCGGGGGGTGTTACCTGGACGCAAGGTCTCCCAGCAGGCTGGTGTTTTCAAAGGAGACGAGAGAAGGCGTTACAGGGGTGCAGCAACCACGCCGTGCTGCCAGTGGGTCTGGCGGGTGGGGGGGGACCAGGCGAGGGAGTCCACAATCTCCAGTCAGGTCTTGCCCTGCTTGCGACCCCCCGAACCAAGGACAGCCCACAGCAGGGCTGGGAAGAACCCCGGGGCAGGCAGGACGAGAGCCGGGACGGGGGCGCAAGCGCCAGGCAGAGTTGCTGCATCGGTTCAGTGACCCACATGCGGCCTCGGCATGTTTCGTGGCCGCGCCACCCCACGTTCCGGGTCAGGTAGCTCATGACTGCCGCTCGAGCCCGGGAGCGCAAGGGGGCATGGCGTGCCGAGGCTGCGTGGGCCGTGTGTGGCTGGTGAGGCGGCCTGTGGCGTCGGAGGGACTCACCCGCCACGAGAGACCACCAGCTTCACCTTCACTTTGTAGGAGACGATGATGCCCAAAACCTCCTTGTTGGCTCCATCTCGCAACCTGGAAACCCAGAGAAGAGGAATGAACTGGAAAGAAAGGCGACAGAGACGACGAAGCCAAGCTCAGGGTTCAGCTTGGATGCCAGGAAGCACTTCCTTGCAGTCGGGACCCCAAGGAGGTGGCGTGGGCTTCCCCGGGAGATGGTTGAGGCCCCGTCGGTGTAGGTGTTCAAGGAAAGGCTGGACGTGCACTTGGTGGGCATGTCGTGAGCGGAGCCGGCTGGAGCCGGGGGTCAGACTAGATGGCCCCGGAGACCCCTTCCGCCTCGCTGTTTCCGTGTGGCAGCTCAAGAAATGCCACCAGTGGCGACTGGCACTGGTGGCTGCCCCCCAGTCCCCCCTCCCCTGTGGTCACTGCCCTTGTGGATTTCAGACTGCACGCAGCTGGGGCACAGAGACAGGCCTCCTCCGCTGCAGATGAGGGGGCGCCAGCCGCTCTGAACGCCGGCGCTGCGGCCTCCTCGAAAGAGGAACGGATCCTAGTGAAGGATCCCTGGAATGCCTGCGGGGCCTGGGAGGGGAGGAGGCCGCCCACCAAGCGCTCGCGCCCCATCCCACGTGCCCTGGCCCTCTGCTGACGCACGACTTGGCAGAAGGAAAGGGAAGCGGGTCACAACGCGCCCCGCAGCCATCACGCGAGCGACTTCCTGCGCGTGCGCATCCATCTATGCATCGGTATTTTTATGGCTCCCCTTTTCACTCTCTGCCAAAAGCCTCCAAGCTGCTGCAGGGCAAAACACAAAGCCCAGAACGGATGCCTGGCCCCACGGAGCGTCAGTGCAGCCGCCTCTGAGTGCTCGCGTCCTTCCTGAAAGCCGCGAGACTCGGAGGGCTGGGCCCGTTCTGGAGGGCGCCCTTCCACCATCTGCCTGCCACCGTGGGCGCAAGGCCTGGCGATGGCTTCCACCGTACGGCAGCAGATGCGCTGAAGTCCACCAGGAGCTGGCCCTGCCCAGCTTGTCCGACAGGCCGGTCCTCGCAACGAGGGGGCTCCCCTTCTTTGGGGGTGATGCCCACCGCTGTCCCAGCTGCAGGCGGAAAGGAGACTCACAGCGTGCTGGAGGCCAGATTGGTGTCTTCATGTTTCAGCTTCCCATCCAGGGCCAGCCCTCGCTTCTCCCGGTTGTTGGCAAGGAACGGGGTCAAGGTGTACACTTTGCAGAAGGTGGAACTCGGGGCCACGACGTCACTGCAGGGAACGGAGGGCTCAGAGGCAGGCAGCCGGGCTCTGGTCGCTCCCGGGGGCTCACTGCCCGCACGTCCGGCTGTCCTTCATCCCCACCATCTTTGAAACCACCCCCCAACTCTGCCGCTTAAAAACGGGGAAGTGGAACTGGGGGGAGGCACCCTGAGCCAGCACGACCTGCCCCAGGCCAGGCATGGCTCCGTGGAGCTGGCGCTGCCGCCTTGTGCTGGGGTCTCCTGCAGGCCTGCGCCCCGCAACCGGGCGGAAATGCCTGGGGCCGGGCTGCAGGGAGCGGCTCTGCCTGGAGCTGGCACGTGGCTGGCACACGCGCCCCGAAGACGCCTGGGCAACTCCCAACTCCTCTCCGCCCAGACGGGCCTTGCGCCGAGCCCTGCACGCCAGGCAGCGAGCTCCTCCGGGAAAGGCGGGCGCTCCGCCGGGCTTCCCGAGGGGACGGCTCGCCCCCGCAGCACCTCTCTGCCGCTGGGCTCGGAGGGACACGGGGACCCCAAGCTGCTGCTGGCCGACAGCTCCCCTCCCCTCCCCACCGGCTAAGCTGGCTGGGGCTGATGGGGCCTGCAGTCAAGCAACATCTGGAGGGCCCTTGCGCCGTGCCCCCGGGCCGGTGTGCAGGCGCCTAGAGGGCAGGGGCCGCCTGTTCCTCCTGTGCTGGGCAGGCCTGGGAAACGGACGCTGCGGCAGGACCGATACTCACTCGGATTCCTCCACGGCCACGGGGCACTTGTACTGGGCGGTGTTGAACAGGCAGATGTCTGCGTACTGGCGCACTAGAGGCAAAGCGGAGAGAGAGGTGGCAAAGAAGAGCTGAACGTCCACGAGGGCAGGAACCATCGTCCACACCGGCAGCGCTGCCTCCCACCCCTGGCACCCCTGGTGAGTGGCTGATTGACTGATTTCTAACCTCTGTGGACCCTCCTGTACTCCCGGGGGATCCCACTGCAAGATTTAAACAACAGCAGCAGCAGCAACAACACATATAAAACCATAGAATCACACATTAAAAGGGCAATTAAAATCGCCACTCTTCTACCAAAAAGCCAAACATTCCTCACAACAATCCATTCAGCTTAAAAACAATTTAAAGCTGCAACATTCTAAAAAGCTAAAATGCTCGGGCAAGAAGTGAACTGAATGGAGACGGATGCTGCGTTGGCGGGGTGCCGCAAAGCCGGGGCGCTCGCCCGCCGGAGACCACCCTGTCCTTTGCAAGCGCTTTGGGTGGTCTTCCGCGGACGGTATTTAGAGGGGGTCTCCTCTGGGGGCCGCCGTCCCCAGCCGGGCAGGGGCCCATCCGGGGACGCGGGGCCAGGCCGCCGGGGGAGCGGCCAGAGGCGTGCCCACGCTCACCCGAGATCTTGATCTTCTTCACGGTCTTGTTGGTGTTGTTGGTCGCGTGGACGTTCACGTTGATGGGCTCGCCGTGGTAGTAGATCTAGCGGGAGCAAAGCAGCGGCACGTCTGCTGAGCCGCGAGGAGGACTCGCCGGGGAAGCAGCCGGCGTTCTCGCTCGAGGGCCCCCCACGCCAAGCCCCCTTCCCGAGGCACAGGCCCCACACGCACCCCCCCCCCCACCAACGGCAGCAGGACGAGGCCAGGATTGCGCGCTCCTCGGGGCCTTGCGCTGCAGCCTCTCCGCTGGCTCTGGGGCCGGCAGGATCCGGCCCACACCGCAGGGGATGGCCTCCCACACCGGGGAGCCCCGGCCCCCGCCCAGACACGGAGGGCAGCGGGCACTGGCGTGTCCGATCTGTGCCGCGCCACCTGGAAGGTTCCGGAAAGGCCGCCCAAAGTACCTCTTTGTCCAGGGAGGCCTCCAAGTGCAGCGGCTTGTCAGACATGAGGAACTGCCGGGTGGTCTCGGCCATCGGCTGCGGTCCTGGGCGCTCGGGGGCATACTGGACTTTGCGGATCACCAAGCGCACCGAGTTCCTTGGGACGCACAAGGGACGCCAACAGGTCAGGCCAAGCTTCCCCAAGCTCACCCCCTCCAGACACGTTGGACCACTTCTCCCATCATTCCCAGCTAGCAAGGCTGCCTTAGGCTTTGGCCAGGGGACAGGTCTTGGCCCCGGTGCCTACAAGGGACCCTAGGGACGGTGCGTGCCACGTGCTCTCCGGCGGGGAGCCTGCAAACCCGGACGAGAAGAAGAGCCCAGCCGCGGACCAGGTGGAGGGTCTTCCACGAAGGTCCCTAGCACTCAGGAGTGGGCTGCCACTGGGGTCCTCCACGTACCGTCATTTCAGGCTTTTAGGAAGGTCCATTTCCCCCCTCTTGCCTCGCCCCATTTGTGCCCTACTGGACTGTTCTGGGTTTCAGCTGCAACGGCTCAATCTGCTCTATCTTGGCATTTGCTGGTTTTTCATTCTTGTCCCTTCCTCTATTCTCAGATCAGTTTTTAGTATATTAATTTATTGTTGCATGCTGCCTTGGGAGGTCCCTGCTCTAAAAAGTGGTCAATACATATTTTAAATACAAAAATACATGTAGAACTTAATGTGTCAGTGGCCAAGACCCTGTGGCCAGCAGTGGCCAGCCAGATGCTTCTGGAGGCCAAGAAACAGGGTCTGGGGACAAGCCCCCGCCTCTCACTGGGTCCCAGCATTCACCCCCCCCCTTGGCTTCTGCACAGGCAGCTTCCATTCCACTCCTGGTGCCCTCCGCCTCTCCCCTTCCCCTCTTCTTTCCCCTCTGTGGGTGTCCCCTCTGTCCACCAGGCCTCTGCTGGTAAGTTCCTCAGGGCCAGGACTTTGCGAAGCTCAATGTAAGTTGCCAACGCGAGAGAAAGGATGCCAACCAAACCCTCTGTTGCAGAACCAGGACTGCGGCCTTGCTCACCTCTTGTGAATCTTCTCCTCTGGATTCTCTGCGCAGAAAGCTTTGACCTCGTAATCGACGCCACAGGCCTGGAAAGAGGAGGCAGCAGGACAGGGTGGATCCAGGCGCCCACCTTGCTCCCCGGGAGCTCGAACACGCGTGCCTCTTATGACTGCGATGCCTCCCCTTTTCACAGAAGCCGGCAACACAGATCTGGCACCTCCCTTTTTGTCAAGGGGTCTCCTTTTAGCTCGGTTGGCTACCCTCTGCCTTAGGAAGCCAGCGCATCGTCCACCAGACCCTCGGCAGGCCCCACCTTCCCTTTCGGGAGTTCCTACCTATCCACCCGACACGCCGTTTTTACCTTTCCTGTATCCTCAGGTCCCGGTTGCAGCGTCACAGAGCAGGGAAGGTTAGGGGGGATCTGAAACGGGAAGTGGGAGGTGTGAAGAAGCACCCTGCCAGGCTGGCCAAGGAAACCGAGGCCTCATCTGCGCACACATTTGAATAAAGCCCTAAGAAGAGCAGAAATAACATCTCTTGGCCTGTTCACAACACAGCCAAAGCTCAGGGGGCATCTTCAGTGTGGCACCTCTTATATTTAGGTTATTTGACATTCAGCATATTGTGTTTTAATCCCATAAAGGGCAGGGGAAGCTTAGCAGACTATGGGTTTCCTAGTTGCATCTAATCATTTCTCAGCCACTCTCAAAAAACTTTTGTTGAAGTTATTGTCATTGTATGAAAAACATTACAAATGAATTACTGAGAAAAATAAATTGCCAGAATTTTGGACAGCTGTAGCGATCCAGAAAGAAGGTAAAGCTCCCAAAACAGTAATTTCTAACAGACAAATATATCTTTTAAATATACATTATTAAATCATAATTAGTATATTAGCGAAGCATTTAAATTAAGTACGACATAAGTATATACATCAAGACCACACAGGGTTTAATTGGACAAAACGAATGAGGGATGATGTGAGGAAATTCCTACTTGCTGTAGATTTTACATCTGGATTAAGGGAACAGTATTTATTGCCCTGTTTGGATTTAGAAAAGGCTTTTGATAACAGTGAATTGGCATTTTGATTTAAAGCACTAAATTTTGGTCCAATGTTAATAGATGGGTGCAGTAATTTACTTAAATGCTAAAACGAGCACAAAATAAAAACAGGAAGCTACTTTGAGCAGGTTTATTCCTCCCTCTTTTCCTCTCCAGCACACTTAGACGAGAACTTAGAAGTTCTAATCCTTTCAGCAGAGCTTAACCAGTCACAGCGCAGTATAAATTAAAGTATCATTCTCATCAAGATGCAGGAGAAGCGCCTGCCCATAAAATGAGTTGAATCCACACCGAAGCTCCCCCAGCTTGCCTCTCCTTCAAAAAGGCTCTGACTCTGCCCTCAGGGCGGCTCCGGCTGCTTGAGAGTCGGGTTGGGACCAAAGGGAGGCCCAAATACAAGAAGGATGGAACCCGGAAAGCAAGCCACAGCCTTGCATTTAGAGCAGCTAAACGGGGGTGCCATGGATGGGGCATTTGGGGGCCTTTCATTCTCAGGGTTGCCACAAGTTGGAGATGACTCGATTGCAATTGCTCTATATTGCACAAGGGGAAAAGGCTTAGAATGATGGTACCGGAAGAGGAGGAGGAGGAGAACTTAAAAGCAAAAAAGAAGTGCCTTGTGCAAGGACTGGGTCAACTCTGTTGCAGAGCCTTCAAGAGATGCTGGAACAGATTCTGAGTCTGCCAAAGAGGAAGGAGTGGGATTCCGACCAGAAGAGCCCAAGCCAGGAGACTCCAAGATAAGCCAAAGGAGCAGAGGATCAACGAGCTTCAGGTTCCATAGGAAGTCCATGACCCGGATCATGCGGAGGGAAGCACAGTGTTGAAACTCATCCCAGGACCGGGGGGTGGCCAACGGATATGCATCAGGCTCTCTGCGCGATTAGCTCACGATGCAAGGACCTGTGGCAAAGCCGGGGTGTCGGCAACCTGGGTTTGGGAGAGGCCTTTGTTGGGAATCAACTCCTTGCTCCAAGGTCCCCCTTGGACCTTTGGAGGCTTGTCTGTGGCTTGATCACTCGGAACCTCGCGGTGCTGCTTCCCTCGGTACCAGTTTTTGCAACATGCTGAATTTGCACCTGAAAGCCCCGCTTGCCGGCTCCCATTTCCACCAAGGAGCTTTGGCTGGAACATCTTTGGTGGACGGAGAAAGAGAGCAGGGCAGCCTCGGCGGGTGCCAGGCTGGCGGGAGGTAACAGGGCTGACCTCCGACAGATCGAGGGGGTGCTCCAGGCTGGGGAAAGCTGCTGTGAATGCTTCTGAGGCTCCAGTCTGGGGATCTGTCCCCAAGGGTGACACGCTCCAGTCAGGGGCTGAGGGGAAAGCCAGTGCGAACGGCCGAAATTACAGTAGAGAAAAAGTGGCGAGAATTACTGGGGGGCTGGTGTACCCCTACATGAGCAACTTAATGAATCTAGGCCGTTCCAACTGAAGGAGGGAAAGGGCTGCAATCAGGTCCAAAAGAAAGCACTTCTTTTCCATCCGATGCCGAATGAAAGGTCAGGAATCGAGGCCACAAGGTGGCTGCCGACTCGGAGGGCTTTGAAAGGAGACCAGACACACCCATGGAAGACGGGGGTGGGGGGGCAGAGCCGATGGGGGGCTTGGTTAGAGCGGCTCTTGGCTGCCTTCCCACCCAGATACATTTTGGGGCATTCGGCTTACAACAGAGGCAAGAAGGAAATGCCAGAAGGAACCAGGGATTGGGGTTCTAATTTAAGCCCAGAAAAGAGTTACTCTGAACGGATCAAATTCCAGCATTTGACATTATCTTTCTGTCCCGCTGCCAAGCCCAGCTCCATCCACCGCCGTCTAACAGATCCAGCCATCTTCTTTTTCATTAGGGACTTGGTGGATGAGTCATGATCAAAATCTTGTCACACTCCTCCGACCGAGAGTGCTTAAAGCCACGGGTAATCCTTGTTAATTCCTTTTTCCTGTCCTGCATTCCCTGTCAGAACAGCTGCTTCTGCTTAGATGATTGTACTGGGAAAGGTTTTAAATAATCAAGAATTTGCTGACTGCCCTCCAAGACCACCAAATGGTTCCCGAGATCCTGAGTCCTCAGTCCCAGCAAAATTGGCCACAGTAACAGGCCAGGCATCTCTGAACTTGTGGGCTTGGACCATTTGAGCCAGCAGCAACCTTTTCACATGGGCACATGCTTTTTGGGGCTCGGCTCAGCGGCCAGTCGGGTGAAAAGCTTGCAAGGAAGACGGCCACTCTCAGCCCGGAAAACTTTACAGCGGGAACTACATTTGGCGAATCAAAAAATCATCTAGTACACTCGGACTTAAAAGAGAGGTGCGTGCGATACCTGTGGAATACATCCTCCGAAGTGCCACCCGGGAAACACTCAGAACCCATATGCCACGACCTGCCTTGAGACCCCTGTCCGAGCAGAAGCGCTCATGCAGCCAGAGACTGAATCACCGAAAAGCTCCAGCCGAACACGTCCAAGCAGCACACCGAAGTCCACCTCCCAGAGTAATGTGAGGCTGGTTGGACCGGCACTTCCAAGGCAGCTTCCAAAGGAAGCCACGTGTCTTGCGCATGCAGTGGCAAACGCTTTGGTGGAACAGAAACGGCTCGCTGCCACCCCACGGCAGCGGCGGCCCTCTGAGGGCACCTGGCAGCAGCTGAGAGAATGCCTTGCTCTGGCACGCGGAAGGGGAAACAGCCTCCCCCTGCTGACGCAGGAGGAGTGCCTGGTCCGCTCTCAGGCCACGCCGTGCCATCCAGAGATACACCAAGGCAGAGACACTCCGTTTAGGGCCGCGTTTCAACCCATCTGCCCCGTGGTCAGCAGTCTGAAGAAACTGGGTGAGATTACAAAGTGGAACAGATACCCCAAAGAGGAATTACCCCTGTGTGGGAGAAGTGAGGCAAGGACACCCCCGCCTGCTTGCATAGGGCCAACGTGGCGCACGGGGGAAGCAGACCCCAATCCCTGTCACTTGGTCACAGAAGTGTAAACATGCATTCCAGCATTTGGACTACACACTGTATGTGGGTTTGCGGTTCCACTCTTGTTTTATGTTCTCAGCGGCTTTTCACAGCTATTTGGTTTTGGTGAAGGATTGTGGAAATCAAATCAAAGTTATTCAAAAATTGAAAACCATCCCAACAAAGCAGCATGGGGGGGGATATTTTCCCCAAGGCAGCCAGCCCTCCATGCAAATGCTCCAGCATTCCCTCCCACCCCCACAACCCAGCCGTTCCCTTTGGGTGGTAATTCGGCAGTTCTCGGAAGGAGCATAAATTTGAGGGGAGTGCGTCTCATTCCAAGACAACCAAGCCCTGGAAATTGACTTCTTCCTCTGGAAAATAATATTTAACTTCAGCTGCACTTGCTAATACGAAACCGCACCCAGGTTGAAAACGGGGAAGCGACCGGCTTCTTGGAAACCACTAGAGACATTTACGATTTGCATAATGCTGCTTGCTGCCTCTGCAATCTCCTCGCGAGACGCACCCTAATTTGGGCACACTGCTTGAGGTAATCTCTGGGAGCAGAGGAATTTTCTGCCGCTCCCTCAGAGATGACCTGGGGAGTCTCTCTCGAGCGCCTGCCCGGATGGCGTGAGCACGATGCCTACGTTAGCCGGGGAGCAATATCCTCTCCATCTCCAGCGGGGGCTCGCCATGTGCGGATGCCCAGGATCGCCAGAAAGAGTGACATGTGGGTCCTGGATCAAACCGAGCCAGAGCTTTCCCTAGACGCAAAGCAGGACCACCCTGAGTCTGTCCTGCTTCAGACAAACCACGAGAAGACAAAGGACCCTGGAGAAGCATCGTGCCCGGGAAAATCAAAGGCGGCCTCTGCCAGTGAGAAGAAAGTTCTAGAACTTAAGAGGTTCTCGACTTCATTCTATCCAGGGAAAGAAGGCCTTTAAGACCAGAATGACTCATTTCCTGCAAAACTCATCTTCCTTATTGCTGGGGGTTGAGCAAACCTTGGGCAAAACCAGAATTCAGGAAACTAGGTGGCTTCCCATTAAAATCAAATGAAGCTGACCTCTGTGGTACCAGTGCAGCTGAAAGCTCTTGTTTTGAGACTAGGCCCACAGGACTAGACCCACGGGGGAGGGGGGCATGATATCCCTCCATAAGCCCCTCCAAGGCTGCCACAAAGAGGAAGGTCAAGATCTCTCCTCGCTGATGCCAGAGTGTGAGACATGGAATAATCAACTTAAGTTGCAACAACCCCGATTCAGGCTGGGCATCAGGAGATCCTTCCTCACTGTCAGAGCAACATGACAGTGGGACCAGCTGTCTGGAGAGCTGGGGGGCTCTCCCACACTGGAGACATTCACAAAGAGGCTGGACCGCCTCCTGAGTGGGATGGTGTGACGT